TCCAAATCATGTAGTATTTACCTAAAATATTTATTAAAATGTCTAACATAATCATTTATAATGTATAATTTATTTTATTTATACATTTTTATTAAACATATAATGTGGCAGATAACTGCTGAAGTGAAAAAAATAAAATAAAATGTGAAACAAAAAAAGTTGTAGAAATGTATTATGAAAAGTGCATTAAAAATCTATTTTTCCAAAACATGTTTTGCTCTAAAACTGAGAAAATCAAAGCCATAAATCTAAACGTGTTCCATATTTTAGGTTGATATCTTGAGTCTGTCTTATAAATTAGAGCTTTCATTATGATTTGTTTGGGCGCAGTACCAAACGTTTCCACTAGATGAAATTGGCTTCCCATTCCCATTGGCTGCCGTTCAAAAGTTTGGGGTCGGTCATTTTTGACTGTGAACAGTACAAGTATGACTATTTTTTTCAGGAGCATTTAACCTTTTCGAATCATGTCCGTGTGTTCACATAGCAAGTGCCACAACCTTTACCAAGTTTCATACCATTTAGATTAAGTAAAAAATTCTAAAAAACTAAATGTAAAATGTTTTGGTCAAAAATTATCAAACAGCACCAGAGGGTTAAACAAAAAGGTTTAAGTTCTTCTTACCTTATCTGTTCCTGTGTATGGTATAACTGCTGTAAGTAGTAAATACTTTGCTTTGGATTCCCAAGGCAGTTCTGATATCCTGTTCAGTAACTCCACATAAAGTCTTTTCTCTGTGTTCCCAAAGTGCGAACAATCCTTCTCATATATCTCCATAAGGAGACAGAAAGCACTGCGTGCCACCTCTGCAACACCATCCAACTACAATAAAATAATAAAGAAAATACCAGCTGTATGGAATCGGATGTTTTTCTGTTATGGCTGATTGTATCATTTATTATAGATTTTTTTTTTTTTTTTTAAGAAAATATGAGTGTTTCTTGCCCGTGCTAAACTGCTAGGGTGTTCTGAGAGGTTTTAACACACGGCCCTAGTAAAAAAAAGCCCATCTAACCCAATACTTAGTGTTAGTGGTTTGTTCAAACCCATATACCTTAAAACAAAGAATATTCTGTTTCATAGTACACAAAAGGCTTACCGGGCTCTCTGCATTGCTCCAGATGATTTGTGTAAGATGCTGTTGGAGGTCTGAATCTAAAGGAGCACCAGTAACTTCCCAAACCTCACTGAGACACTCTTTCAGCCTCTTCAGCCAGATAGAAAACACTACAAAACACATATTCATACAACCAATGACCAATGTCACTGCGGTCATGCACAGACCCAGCAATCTGCAGAATGACGCATGATGATGACAGAGAGCTTGTACCTTGAAAAACATAGTAATGACAGTCAAGCTTTTCTTCACAAAGTGCTGAGATGAAGGGGAACAACCCATTCAAGAGAAAACAAGTCTGATAAAACAAAAGAAAAAGTGTAAGTAATTATACGCTCCACTTTGGATCCTTCTTGGTGAAAGCAGTGTGTGTGAGATTTCATACCCCCTGGTTGCCATGGCGACTGACAAGAATGTCATTCCTGCAGCAAGTTAACAACCCCCTGCATACAGCCAGTCTGTCCACTCCGTCTTGACGTCTGGGACGGCAGTCCACCTGTAGCTCACCTACTGTCCATCTCCACGGTTCTGAGAGGCACAAGATTCACATATTATGAGAAATATATATATAAACTTTTATGTTAGATGTGATTAATCGATTTGACAGCTCTAATATACATATACAGTACCAATCAAAAGTTCGGAAACGTTACTATTTTTAAAGTTTTTGAAAGAAGTCTCTTATGCTCATCAAGCCTGCATTTATAAAAAAAAAAAAAAAAAAACTAATATTTTAAAATATTATTACAATTTAAATGAGTGGTTTTCTATTTTAATATGCTTTAAAATTAAAATTATTTCTGTGATGCAAAGCTGAATTTTTATCAGTTATAACTCTTCTTCAATGTCACGTGATCTTTAAGAAATCATTCTAATATACTGGTTTATTATCAATGTTGGAAACAGTTGTGCTGCTTGGTATTTTTTATAACCTGTGATTTTTCAGGATTCTTTGATTAATAAAAAGTTTTTTAAAAATAGAAATCTTTTGTAACAATATACACTGCCGTTCAAAAGTTTGGGGTCAGTCTTTTTTTTTTTTTTTGAAAGAAATAATACTTTTATTCAGCCAGGATGTTAAATTGCTAAAAAGTGATAGTAAAGGCTTACATTGTTAGAAAAGATTTCCGTTTTGAATAAAAGCTGTTCTTTTGAACTTTTTATTCATCAATAAATCCTGAAAAAAGTATCACAGGTTCCAGAAAATATGAAGCAGCACAACTGTTTCCCAACATTGATTTCTGAAGGATCATGTGACACTGAAGACTGGAGTAATGACTGATGAAAATTAAGCTTTGCATCACAGAAATAAATTATATTTTAAAGTATATTAAAATAGAAAACCATTATTTTAAATTGAAATACTATTTCACAATATTAGTTGTTTTCTGTATTTTAAATCAAATAAATTCAGGCCTGATGAGCATAAGAGATTTCTTTCAAAAACATAAAAAAATAGTAACATTTCTTTCAAAATTACTATTTTAACTATATTTTTGATCAAATAACACTTCTTTCAAAAACATTACCAAGCCCGTTTTTTTTAACAGTCTTTTTGCAGAAGGTTAAATGGCTTTAACTGCAATTAAAAAACCTATTTCACCTGTGTTGGTGATTTGCAGCAGACTCCAGGCAGCTGATCCTGCACACTGACTGTCTGACAGCGTGCCGAGCAGCATTGCAACCGCAGTGCCTGCCAACAACCGCGAGTCTCTGCTGGACACCTGAGAGACACCATTAAATGACACAAAATTAGATGGCTAGACACAAAAACTTTAGTTTTTCCAAAAATATAGTTGCAACCGCAAACACAAACCTCTCCTAAGATAATGCTCATCAAGAACTCCAAAATCTCTCTCACACTCATATTTACACTGTCCTTACTGTGGACCAACAGGGCCACCTGCCTTGGCAGCAGCTGAAACACCTGCAAACAAACCTGAGAACAACACAACAGGTCCTAGATCAACTGTTGTTTCATTAATGCAGTAAAGCTTCAAAAAGGTGGGTGTTACAATAACTAGATTTCCACCTTGACAGTCTGGTAGCACAACGGTTCATTTCTGGCTTCTTCTTCTGACATAACAACAGGAATCAGCTCAGCGACTTTACCAAGCAGGGTGGTGCATTCTGTCTTCAGAACCGCTCGTCCCATAGTGCTGTCCTCCAAGAACATGCAGGCTGTCATGGGACACACACAACTATTACAACACAACAGATATTACTACATATAAAAAGCTCTGTAAAAACAGAAGTGAACTAAAGCACACATTACCTATCTGAAGATCTTTTAATGTAAACACCTGCAAAAAAAGTATGTGTGTGTTTATATTTCAAAATTATTGCTTTAATATTTGTTATGTGTATATATTATTTCATACCTGTTTTTGGTGCAAAAAGTTCTGCAGGTATTGTTTGATTTCTTTAAAGACAATGGAGTAGTTTATTTCAGCCAAGACCTGCAGAATCTGTAAAACAGAGTTAAGAGGTGTTGTTTTAAGGGGAATAAAAATGTTGTAAACAAATGGGAATAAAAAGAAAATGATGTCCTATTAAAGTGAAGGTGGAAATTACTTGGTCTAATTTGCGGCAGGCAGATGAAATGGCCACTGCCTCTAACTGTAAGGCCAAAAGAAGCTGAGCAAATTGGTGAAGAGCAGCAGACTGTAAGGAATGAAGTGCTTCTTTTGGGATCTTCTGTAGGATCTGTAAAGCCTCCTCCAGTGAGCGCTCTCTGCTTCGTTTGCCTGTACTCCTGTCAATAAAAATACCATCTCTCATCATACACTGTGTGCAGTGCATTACAATAAAATATGGGTGTTTCTTCAACTATAGGCTATTTTTTTGCATTGTGATTAATGGCATCTAGAACATTCTTGTCTTGCTAACGCTGATTTCATAATAGTGTTGCTTATAATTATATTGATTGTATTATCAAATCAAATCAATATATATATAGTATAGGTCAAAAGTTTGAAAACATTACTATTTTAATGTTTTTGAAAGTCCTTATGCTCATCAAGCCTGCATTTATTTGAAATAACAAAAAATAAATAAAACAGTAACATTGTGAAATATTATTACAATTTCAAATAATGGTTTTCTATTATTATATACTTTAAAATATATACTTCATTTCTGTGATGCAAAACTGAAATTTCTTCAGCCATGACTTTAGCCTTTAGTCTCACATGATCCTTTCAATAAAATATTCGAATATGCTGATTTGATACTCAGTTATTATCAATGTTGGAAACCATATTTTTTTGGAACCTGTGATACTTTTTTCATGATTTTAATGATATAAATCTTTACTACCATTTTTTCTAAAATCAATTGAAAACATGCTCTCTGAATAAAAGTATTACTCTATTTAAAATAATAATAATTTTGACCCCAAACATTTGTATTGAATACACTACCAGTAATATTTCACAATATTACTGTTTTTTTTCTGTATTTTTGATCAAATAAATGCAGGCTTGATGAGCATAAGAGACTTCTTTCAAAAACATTAAAAATAGTAATGTTTCCAAACTTTTGACTGGAATGTATGTAACGTTATGCATGTATCATCACTCTAGTAACAATAGCTCCCTACCTGGCATTTTCTGTAAGCTTCTGCAAGAAAACCCTTAGCGTGTCTTTGACATCAGATGATATTTGATCCTCTAAAACGATAGATTTCATAACAGCATCAGCTTGCCCCAAAGAAAGGTTTATAATCGTCATAGTTCCAAGTGTCAGACTTGTCAACTCAAAACGGTTTGCACAGTTCCATGTGTAAATTCATTCTACAGTGAGATCCAGGGTCATATGACATGATTAGCGCACGCTTGCGCCCCCTACCCTCACGACTGTATGGTAAATCTAACGTGCGTGGTGCGTAGCTAATGGCTAGCTAGCTACACTATCCAGACTGTGAACACAGTGTCTGATGCCACCACAATACGTTTAAATAGGACAGATTAAATTGCCTTATGCTGGCTTAGCTAACAGAGCATGTATCTGTTATATACTATAATATCCGCGCTTTTGTGCTTTTTGATATTGAAATGGATGAAACGGAGGAGGTATTACATGGATGTGAAGAGGTTAGATGGAAAAACGGTTCTTATAACAGGTAAGTGAGTACTTTTGGCTTCATATCTCTGGCTATTTGAGTAGCATCTCTTAGTGTAACGTGATTGATAGCAAGTGAATGAATGTTGATACAGGTCATACAGGTAATATTTTAATAAAAATTTTTTTAAAAAGCCACACCTTCAGGTAAAGCTAAATCACATTGGTATGAATCATGTCACGCTGGTTTATTCTGGAAACTGGATTGTCCTGTATGGGAAAGCCATTCATTCCTATTATGAATGAGAGGTTTGAGACTTGTATGTTTCAGGTGGAAACTGCGGTATTGGGAAGGAGACTGCTGTGGCACTGGCTTTACGAGGTGCTCGTGTGATCATCGCCTGCAGGGACGAGGAGAAAGCGAGAAAGGCCGTTCGAGAAATCAAAGGCAGGAGCCACAATATGAATGTGCTATATATGGAGGTCGACCTGGCCAACATGAGGTCCATACGAGAGTTCTGCAAAACATTCCTACAAAAGGAGAAGCGGCTGGATATTTTGATCAATAATGCAGGTGATAATTGATGAATTTATATAGGCTATATATATATATATATATACTGTGCAAAAGTCTTAGGCAAGTTAGTATTTTCACCCCAAATAAATGGTTTTAATTAAATATATTTTGTAGTGTGTCAGTAGGAAATATCAGTTTACATTTCCAAACATTCCTTTTGCCATTCATAATCCAGTGAGATTTTTGTATGCACAACGAGTCTGACAACAGCCGGTGCTCCACACAGAGATCTGATCTCACCATCATCGAGTCCATCTGGGATTACATGTAGAAACAGAAAAAAAAACTGAGACTAAAGAACAGTTCCAGAAGAACTGTGGCAACATCTCCAATATGCCTGAAGAAACATCTGCATACAAAAATCTCACTGGATTATTACAAAATAATGGCAAAAGGAATGTTTGAAAATGAAAACTGATGTTTTCTACTGAAATACTACAGCAAAAGATATAAATAACCAGCTTAAAACAAAACATTTTTTGGGTAAAAATACTAACGTGCCTAAGACTTTTGCACAGTACTGTATATAAACATTTTCACTGTATAAATTAAGTCTTTCTTTATGCGTAAAAAAAGATATATAACTGTCCCTCGCACAAATATGATCATATTTTGTTATCTGTGGCATCTAAGGGTGTGTTCACACTTGTAATTAGGTTCAGTTGGTTTGTTTGTTCCGGACCAAAATAAAAAAAACCTTTTAGTCCTGGTCTGCTTAGTGTTCACATTGGCATTTTTAACACCGAACCTAAAGGCACAGGGATATAATCACAACCTGATTGGTCAGCTTTTATGGTGTATATTTTGTGTGAGTGAACTTACCAAACATCCAAAACAATGCTGTGTGCTGGGATAAATGCACTCGCTGTATGTGCGTAGCCTACATATGATGGTATTTTGACCAGCTGAGAACTCGTGAAGAGTTTACAAAATGTGTGAAGGAGTCAAAACAGCGGCAGGAATCCCTGCGTCACACACACAAACGAAGATCTGCTGCGAGGAGACACGGTTCTGACGCCTGTACTGAACTGTGAACATCGCGACTATGACGAGAAAAATAGGTATGCTTGAGCATTCTGTCCTTTTTAGGGTCACATCTTGTGACGTCATGTCCCGTTTTTGGTTCGTTTACATGTCTTTGGTCCGTGTTGCATTCATATTTAATTTGGAAGCGTACCGAGACCCATCTTTTCAGCGGTCTCGGTCCGCTTGTTTGGTGCGCTCCAGGGTTCGGATGGCAGCGTTCACACTTATTCAAATGAACGGAGCAATCGAACCAAACATGCCAAGTGTAAAAGTTTGAAAACCCCTGGTCTGAATGACTCAAAATCGCTATTTCCCCTCAGGTATGCCCAGCGTTCTCGACTGGACCGATGACAACTTCTCCATGTGCTTTGGCGTGAACCACCTGGGCCACTTCTTACTGACGAACCTTCTTCTCCTGCGGCTGAAAGAGAGCGCCCCGAGCAGAGTGATCAATCTCACCTGCTCCAGCTACAAGTACCAGAGGCTGAACTTCCAAGATCTCAACTACAACCTGTTCCCGTTCTTCACTTACTGCCGCAGCAAGCTGGCCAACATTTACTTCACACAGGAGCTGGCTCGCATGACGGAGGGGAAAGGAGTGACTGCGTTTGCCGTTCACCCTGGTGAGATCTAAAATATCGACGGACTTTCTCATTTTACCACTGTGAAAAAGGTTGTTAGGGTGTTCCTGAGTATGAGCTGTGATAATAGTGATCTTTACCTATCTGAACTGATCATTCTGTCTTTTGTCTCTTTCAGGTTACGTTCAGAGTAGCTGGACCTGTCATTACTCGATTCTGTACCGGATCCTTGTGCAGGTGGTGATGTTCATGTTTTTTGTCTCGTGTGAGGCTGGGGCGCAGACGGTGGTCTATTGCGCCGTATCAGACGAGGTGCTCCCGCACAGCGGAGGATATTTCACTGACTGTCAGCCGGCTCCTCTGCGAGCCTTCGCTAGAGATTCTGGAGTAGCAAAAAAACTCTGGGAGGCCAGTGAGAGACTAGTTAAACTGGCGTGATTACGATTTATAGATAAGATATAGAATGCCTTTTTTTGTTGTTTTCCTGTTTTATAAGCAGACTGATTCTTATGTTATTTATGGAACACAATGTTGTGAGAATGTGATTTTTATGACATACTGGTTTGAGTTTTGACTTTGTGTGTGTGTGTTTTTTTTTACAGCATAATTTATTTGGTTGTGACTGATGTGGTTATGAAACATGCAGTATTGAAAAGGACCCTTTTCACATTTCCGGATTCTCAGAAGCGGAAGTTGTCATGGTTGGGTAAACTTCTATAGCGGTGAATGGGAGAAAACAGCAGATATCATTTTTGCATTTCCATTTGCTCCAATAGCAAATGTAAAAACCCATTAACGTTTCCACGACTTTCCAAAAGAGGAAAGTCTTTGAAAAGGGTCCATTGCCTACATTTTTATTAACCGCTTTAATTAGCGAAGACTGGAAATAGGTCATCACAAATTCCACTTAAGAAGATGGAGGTTGGCCATTTATAAATGCAAACAAATCAATGCCTGATGTACACAAATCTAGCAGAACCACTAATGTTACAATAATGCATTTGGTGGACACTTTAATCCAAAGCAATTTTCATTTTATTCATACATTTTATCACTTCATGTCAAAGGTGAAAAAAAAAACAATGTAATTTTTTTCCCAGGGTAGACCTTTTAATTAAAATGTGTAGTTACACAGATTGAAAATAAAGGTAAAAAAGTGATTGAAAACACAGATTCTCATTTGCAATACAGTTTACTTAGTAGTTCACAAATGTTTTCCCAAATCTTTAATGGACAGACTGATGCTAACATGCTTCCTGAAATGTTGACTTCTACTCAAGCACAACACAAATTTCTATGATTTCAAAGATTTTACTTTATCCAGGCCTGGAAATGACCGTTTTAAAACACCATAATATAGAGTGCAACAGTCGGGTTCTGGAAATAATCATGTTTAACAGAGGAATTCATGGTGAAAAACCTACTCGGTTACTATCGTAACCTCAGTACCCTGAGATAGGGAATGAGTATTGCGTAGCTATACGCAGTGGGGAAACTCCCTTTCCTCGATTTACTGAAGCCTATATGTAAAACGCATTTGCAGCTGCACAGCCAGCCCCCTGAGCGTCTGACCCGCTCATAGGCTGTGCTGCAGCAACTGCACATCCAATGGCGCGGGCGAATCTGACGCACAACCAATAAGCTAGCCCAACGTCAGAGCCCGTCGAGGGGGCGTGCCCCGCCTATATAGACCCCCGAATTCGCCATTATAGCAGGTTATACGACTGAAGCGACAACTTCACCAGTTACCATAGTGCGGCCGGCTACGCAATACTCGTTCCCTATCTCAGGGAACTGAGGTTACGATAGTAACCGAGTAGTTCCCTTTCGAACGGTCACTTCGTATTGCGTAGCTATACGCAGTGGGGACACCATGCAAAACGCCGCACCCTGAGTAACTGGTTGTCCTGCCACTCAGGACCCCTGAGCTAACAGAACAAGCCAGAACCCAATAACATATGCATATACATGTATATATAACAGACCAGACACAGTCGGGTCTGAATAATATACATAAGTCAGTACCACAGAATATACTAACAAAACCAGACCCCGTCGGGATTATTAGTATAACTTTATTACCGGCCCGAAGCGGGTTTATATAATATGTATGTGATTATGCACAGTAATTTTTGTAGACAAGACCAGCCACTGTCAGGTCTCAATCAAACCGAAAGCACCTTCGCCTGCAGGGAAGGTACCTCCATATTATAGAACTTCATAAATGTGGAAGGCGAGGACCAGCCGGCCGCATCACAAATATCTTGAATGGGAAAACCAGAAGACCAAGCCCACGACGAGGCCATACCTCTGGTCGAATGGGCCTTGACACCTATGGGGCAAACCTGACCCACTGCGGTGTAAGCCAAAGAGATGGCATCCACTATCCATCTAGACAGTCTTTGCTTAGTGACTGGATCACCCTTAGATCGGCCCCCAAAGCAGACAAACAGCTGTTCTGATTGTCTAAAAGACGCAGAACGCTCCAAATAGATTCTCAACGCCCTGACAGGGCAGAGAAGATTAACCTCCCCATCCTCAGCAGAAGGGGGAAGGGCTAATAGCGTAATAACTTGTGCTCTAAACGGCGTTGAGAGCACCTTGGGGACATAACCATGCCTGGGTTTGAGAATGACTCTGGAGTCATCCAATCCAAACTCCAAACATGCAGGACTCACTGAGAGGGCCTGCAGATCTCCCACTCGCTTGATAGATGCCAATGCCAACAGGAGAGCAGTCTTTAGCCAAAGCGGTTTTAGATCAACCGACTGGAGCGGCTCAAAAGGTGGTCCCCTCAGGGCCCTAAGGACCGTGGAGAGGTCCCAAGGTGGCACCGAAGGGGGCCTGGAGGGGTTAATCCTCCTAGCACCCTTCAGAAACTTTACCACCAGGTCATTCCTTCCCAGTGATTGGCCAGCCACCAGAGCATGGTGCGCTGCGATGGCTGCCACATACACTTTGAGCGTGGACGGGGTGCGGCCCGCGTCCAGTAGCTCCTGCAGGAAGGCGAGCACCACTGAAACCTCACATGACTCTGGGTCAATACGATTTCTCGAGCACCAGCTGGAAAAACCCGACCACTTTAAAGCATAAAGGCGCCGAGTAGACGGGGCCCTTGCTTCAGAGATAGTGCTTAAGACCCTGTCAGGCAGGTCCCCGGATACCCGTTTAGGGGCCACACATGGAGGGCCCATAAATCGGGTCGGGGATGCCACATCGTTCCGTTGGCCTGTGTCAGGAGATCCTTCCTCATCGGAACAGGCCAGGGGGTCGTGTCCGACAACTGAACCAGTTCCGGAAACCATGGTCTGGATTTCCAGAGAGGAGCCACCAGAAGGACTGGGCATCCGCTCTCCCTGACCCGCTCGATAACCTGTGGGATCATCGAGACGGGGGGAAACGCGTAAAGGGGGCGGCTGGGCCAGAGATGAGCCAGCGCATCCCTGTTTTTCGAGAAGAACACCCTGCAGTGGGTGTTGGCTCTCGAGGCGAATAGGTTCTGCCTTATAATTTCAGTGGCAGGCCTTGCCTGGGCAACCAAATGTCATTTTCTTGATCAGTTTAACATTTTAATATATATTTGAAATAAAAACATAAAAATATTGCAAACCATAACAATGGACTCAACATATTTGGCAATTAATATACTCCTTGACAATAGGCCATTGGAGATTAAATATAGAAGAAAAATAAGGATATTTGCCATGATGCATTTAAATATCTGCGGCAGAAGAAAATCACATCACATAATGCTGGTCGCATGATTTTGTGATAAAACATTTTTAGTTTTCGGGTGTTTGGTTAGTAACATAGTTGACAGAATTTTTGCAGAAATGAATAAAATGAAATATTTTTTTATTTTAATGAAAATTTAATTTAAACTCAATTTATTAATTTAGGTAGGAAATAAATTTAATAAAGATATAATCCTGACTTTAACATTTATTGTCCATTATTTTGAACTCGTGACCCACTTCAAAATGCAAACATTGCAAAAACATAATTTAAAGGTGCAGTGTGTAGATTTTAGTTGCGATTTTTAGTTTGGTTCGGTTGCACTAATGGCTCAGCCCACTGCTCACCCCTCCCCTTTGAAGAAGCTACGGTTGCTAAAACGGGACAAACATATCGTCGTCTGAGACAGTAGAGAATAGCCAGAGTAAGCCAAGTTTCTGTACCACAGTCCATTAAAAACCACATCATGGATAAAGTTTACAAAGCCATAGTCAGGTGAGGATCAAGGGTCTTAATGTATAATATAATAATAGTAATCAGCTGATTGTCTCACGAACGTAACCAGCACATTTCTCCCCACATAGCAAACCCATAATACAGCGAGGGAGAAGAACCACATGAAACTATCCAACTACATATTTTTTTCTAACAGGGTAGTAAAAGTTTAGCTGGCTAATATAAGCTGTTACTGTGGCTAAGCTGGTTAAAGCGTAAAGCATTGTTTACACTCGACGCGCCCGCATGAGCGCAAAGGTGCGCGCGGCAAAAATGACATGATTGTAACAGCGCGCGCGCCTCCGCATCCCCTAGACACCATTTACTACACACAATAGGCTTTTTTTCTCTGATTTTGAAAACTCTTCGCGATCAACTTAAAATGCTTCCAAGATCGACTTGTCGACCGCGATTGACGGGTTGGTGACTCCTGTAACGTTACTGTTTTACGGTCAATAGTACTAATCAGCTGATTGTCAAAGCCATAACAGAGGGAGGGAGAACTAAGTTGCATGAAACAATCCAACTACATATTTTACACCACTGACAAGGGAAAAGTCACTACTCACGGTGTCTATGGCTAGCTTCTAGCTTTCTGCTGCTTCTCTTTCAAGGTAGTGACGAAACGCGCTCTGTAGCGCTGTGTGTTCGCTGTCGGCTACGGTAGAAACATGATGTCACAATATTATGTAGTTATGTAGATATAAATGTCTCATTCTAAGGTAATAAAAACATAACGGTTCATTGAGTAAGGTCTTTATACACCACTGAACACATAGTTATGGATCTTATATTGCATTTCTGTCAATAGATTCTCAGAAATATTACACATTGCACCTTTAAGGGACACAAAGGCAATTTCAAGCAAACTGAAAAAATAGGGTGGATAAAATATTGGTGTGAGATTATTGTATGCGTCCTCTTAAATTGATAAAATATGATTGATTACCCTAAATTATAGAATGACCATATTGTTTCTATATGTTTTTGCATATTTTATGTTTGTATGTACTGTATATGTGGTATAGTACTGCTGCCTGTCTTGGCCAGGATACTCTTGAAAAAGAGATTTTTAATCTCAATGAGTCTCTTCCTGGTTAAATAAAGGTTTAATAAATATTTGTAAAATCTTTCTAAGTGTTTAAGTCGATAGTTTTATATTTCCCCATCATCTGATTGTCATTCACAATGCTTCATGGGATTGTACTTCTTTCTCTCATAAAAGCCACACTCTCTTCTATCTGTCTTTTTTTCAAATACTTTTTTTTTGCTTTATTTTAAAGTTGGTGATGTTGTGAACTCTTTAACAAACACCTTTTTAAATCCCAATGGGAAAAAAGTTTCCAAAACCAAGGTCGCTAAAAAACTGGATAGGCACTGTTGCATTCTTTTCTCAGTTTCTCTTATGGTGGGGAACCCTTTCAAATATATTGCTTATCGATATTCAAGAAACATGCACACGATTCTTCAGTATTTAAATCATCTCATTTATTTATATCTTTTGAACACATTTGCTTAAGTTAGGGAATACACAGAGCATGTTTGAGAACAGAGCAATAACAAGAGTAAGAATCATCAGAAATCAAAGAGAACATTATCTTATACAGAAAAACTAACAGAGGGTTACTGTGAGAAAACTCAACTTCAGAGAAACTATCCGGTACTGTTTCCAATCAGAGAAATGACGTGACGGGTGGAATGGAAACAGTCCTGTGCTTAAAGACGGACAGTGTTGTTGGTGCAGGTGGAAATACGCTGGATCTCTGTTATCTACCGAGCTGTAATTGTTAAGTTAGTCAAAAAAGACTGATAAAAGCCATTCAGGTTTGGTGAGCATCCGCAAAGCACAAATAGCAGAACTATGTCACTGCCGATACAAATTTAGCTTAAAGTGATTTTGAAAAACCCATGCATATTTAGCTAATATTGCAAGTGCTTCTCTGAAGTCAAGCAGTCTCATACTAATGAGTAATCTTATAGTCGTTAATATAAACATCGGTCACCCTGCATTGACAACAATGAGCTTAATACAAAAGCATGCCGTAGAAATATCACCATTTCCATAATCTTAATATCATCGACATTTCGTAGCTATAGTATTCGTCATTTACACTCCCATTGTCAGCATCATTTTGGGACAAAAAAATTATATATATATATATATATATATATATATATATATATATATATATATGCACTTAACAAAGCTGGTAAAACAGATAAGAGAAAGGTTTAGGTAAACCAGCATTCAATAGAAAAATGAAATCAAATAAAGAAATAACACCAAACCTAGTGTTCAAGTGACTATCATGCAAAGAAATTCCAGCTGAAATGCAAGTAAACTGCAGTTTCAATACTGTGTGTCCTGTTTTAATAGTGATGTGCACTTTCACTCGTTAACATGTTTATTTCATTGCTAAACACACAGAGAACAGTACACTTTGTACATGCTGTTTTATTTATTTTTTTCGTCATTTTGTCTTTTTTTAAGGGAGTGGACAGGCGTGATACTTATATAAACACAGGTGAAGTCTTGCATGAGATAAAGCATCCAAGAATGAGACGCAACTGTAACAGAAGCAGGACACCGGAGCACAAACACACGTACACGTGCCTCACGGGGGTCGCTTTGTTTGGAAGAAGCCTTTTGATTGGATTTTAAAAATTCCCTCTTTTTATCCTTGTGAAAAGCGTTTCAGACAATTTCTTTCAAATAATAACAACAAAAAAGATCAGTAGTCATCATCGATATGACATGTGGCTCAAAAATAGTGAGTTTGAACATGAAACAAAGTGTGCGACGCACACAAACTTAAGAACCACGTAGAAAGTTGCGGTAATATAATCAAATAAATAAATACAACCGGAGGACACAATTAGTATACGAGTCTATATAAGGTCAATAAAATAGTCACATGACCAGGTGATGATGTCACACTGACACGTCCGTTCGCCATGATTACAAGCCTTCAAAAACAGACTGAAACCAGCGTAAAGTTGCGTACACTTCATAAACTATTTTTTACCATCTTCTGAAATATAAAACTATTGCTGCCGATTTTGACTACGGACCTTCGCATCATTCTTGAAAAGAATGCCCATCCAAAGGGTAAACAATCTTTAAAAAGGTAACAGGTCCAAGGTAACAAATTTCACTCTCCTTAAAAGTCTTGCACACTGACGACAAAATATATATAAACTCTCAAAAATAGAATGAGTAATATTGATAATAGTTAACACCATATGTTGCAAAAAATATAAATGATGAAACACAAAAGCAAAAAAAAAACAACCTCAAAAGAGCAAAACTATGCAACTCTGTACGCTTAAACCTACCAAAATTCTTCAGCTTTTACCAAATTTCACGAATTCATTGAACCAGCTGGTTTTTAATGGCCTCTAATAACTCTAAACCTACACTAAAACAAGCGTAGAGCCACTTTGAGAACAAACTGAATGATGTCATTGGACGTCCATATCTTTCCATAGTCCTAGAAAACACATGAGTGAGGAGGTCATTGGTTTGCCTATGATATTGGCATGTTCAGCTGAGGTATGGTTTTTATTCAGGTTTGATTCAGTCAGCCCAACTGTACAGGTGCTGTTCAGCTGAAAAAAATATTTAAAGAAATCGCAACACTAACATCTAATACTAATTAAATGTCATAGGTTACATATCAAGCATGATTGTGGCTTTCCAAAAACCAGGAATTGCTCTTTCAATATAAAGTACGCCAACTGAAATCCGGTGAATTATTTCAAATCTGTGCTAATGATGCGAGAAATAAAGCGGGAAGACCCCGAACGTCACGCCGTTCTCGATTAGGCTCTGGTGGGATCTGCCCCAAAACAGACACACATACCAACATATGCCCACTTACGTTTGAACACACATGGACAGACGCATCGGTTGGATGTGAATCACACTGAGAAGCCTGTACATAAACGCAGACCATTATTTATCCATATCACCACGGAAATGGCCGCTGTGGATATACTGAAAAAAATTCATGCTCTCTAAAAATGTTTAGAAAAGAAAAGTCTTACATAAATTAAAAATCATTGGCATTCAGAACATGATTGGTATAAGTGACAATTGTTTTTGTAATTAATACTAATAACAACAGTAAGAACAATAGTAGTAATAATAATAATAATAACAACAATTATATTGAAAATCTACACTGTGAGTGAGGACGGCGATTCAGTGTAACATTATTCACACTGGGAAGGTGCGACGGAAAGCGTGGTGTTTTACAGACGACTCGCTGAGGCCTTATTATCCGTACTAATCAAAGACTGTCCAACTCCACACAGCACATGTGCACAACAGGGGGAGTCTCTGCACGGGTGTAAAGATACAGGGAGGGAGGGGGTCAAGTTGAAGGTAAGACAGAAGACGACGCACAAAAGTGATTGGCAGGTGAGGTGATTGACAGGCGAGGGGGTCGGACCCAGTGTGCAGACTCACAGACACCCAGCACTGGGCTCGCTTTCCTTCCTCCCTCTCTTCAACTTCCCCCCTCCCTCACTCTTGCACTCTCCATTTCTGGCTGGACACTCTTGTCAGATGTGGCTACAATGAGCTCAACCTGAGGAAAAGAAAATGTGTTAACTGTGTGTCTTTAGTTTGCACAACAACAAAATTGCATCCGAGATATGCATACACAAATACAGAGGAGCTAGTTGTCATAAGGGTTGTATATCTCAGTAACGGGAAAAACCCAAACCGTGGTGAATAATAATATTCAAGGGACAAGACAACTATCTAATGAAGATTTTAAGTTTTGTTTCCCCTAATGGGGCAAGTTGTCACATGTGCTTAACATTTTATTTTATGTTTACTTCTGTTTGCAATCAATTTGAATTTATTATTTTAACTTTTTCCATTTGTGCCATTTCATGAATTCATGTGTTTCATAACTGTTATTATAGGGTTAGCTCACCCAAAAATGAAAATTCTGTCAGTAATTACTCACCCTCATGTTGTTCCAACCCCGTAAGACTTTCGTTCATCTTCGGAACACAAATTAAGATATTTTTGATTAAATCTGAGAGCTGGATCACTCCTCCATAGGCTTCTTAAGGGATCGAAACTGACCGGCCCAAAAGTTATGAAAGACATCGTTAAAATAGTCCGAGTGACTACAGTGGCTCAATCTTAAGTTTATCAAGCGACGAGAATACTTTTTGTGCGCAAAAAACAAACAAAAATAACGACTTTATTCAACTATTCATTTCCTTCTCTGTGGGCCGTGAGATTTCACGTAGTGATACTGCGCAAAGCTTCTAGGTTGCACGTCACACGTAGGCTCACTATTGGCCGATGCTGTTCATGTGTGTGATGCGTGACGTACAACCTAGAAGCTTTGCGTAGTTTCACTACGTGAAATATCATGGCCCACAGAGAAGGAAATGAATAGTTGAATAAAGTCGTTATTTTTGTTTGTTTTTTTGCGCACAAAAAGTATTCTCGTCGCTTGATAAACTTAAGGTTGAGCCACTGTAGTCACTCGGACTATTTTAACGATGTCTTTCATAACTTTTGGGCCGGTCAGTTTCGATCCCTTAAGAAGCCTATGGAGGAGTGATCCAGCTCTCAGATTTAATGAAAAATATCTTAATTTGTGTTCCGAAGATGAAGGAAAGTCTTACGGGGTTGGAACAACATGAGGGCGAGTAATTACTGACAGAATTTTCATTTTTGGGTGAACTAACCCTTTAAGTTAATTGCAGAAAAGGCATTAAATAACATTCAATTAACACATTTTTATGATAATTATGTATAATTTACATTTAAAATAAATGCTAAAAATGGCTTATTTCATATGTAAAATAGCATTTCATATTTCAAAACTGGATATTTTTCTTAAATTAGTGTCAAAAACACATGTTACCCACTATGACAACATGCCCTGCTACAGGCGCGTTTCTGTATTTGGTTGTGTTGTGAGCACACGTGTTGTGAAACTGATGAAGATGTTTTATTAATTTGCGGGTGTTTTTCTATTTGTATGCGTTTTCTTCAGTTGCAGTGCGTTGAGCTCTCTCTTCCACCGTACATAAGAGACTTCTTTCAAAAACATTGAAAAAATCTTACCAACCCCAAACTTCTGAACAGTAGCGTTTATATAATATTTTTTATTAATCTGTAATTTTAATCAAATCAACCCCTCACCCCGATTGAGAAACTTTTTCGTTTGTCTTTGTTTGTGCAGTAACACTAGTGAGAGACTCTCCACTTCATAATACAAAAGTGAGACCCATGTTATTGCCCAGGTGTTACCTTCACTGGAGAGGGGCGGCCGGAGCTCCCGAACAGTGGAAATGGACATTTTGCCATTTGGAGTCCCGGCGATGCCACACCCTCGTCTCTTCTGATTGGCTGCTGCGCGGCCGGCCCTGTCCGTCCACATATTGTGTGAGGCGGATATAGGCAATGCAGGCGGCCTCCTCTCCAATCAGGTGCACGTGAGGGTTCAGGATGGTGGTGTGGATGGGCTTACTGTTCTTAGACAGCACTGACAGAGCAAAAAACAGCCACACTTAAGAACATACTGTACATCATGACCAACAGGGTAAAAGTGAACAGCAATACGACTCAACTTACGGTTCTCGAAGTAAAATCTGTGGAAGTCCATCCCCTCCACCAGGTTTCCCAAGGCCTCAGGTTCAAAGCAGGTGAGTCCAGGGTCGCAGATTTTACTGAAAGGAATTAAAATAGTTTCAGTGCTATAACATTTTGTATTTACGGACATTTGTGGCTAAATAAAAATCTAAAATACACCTCTCACACAAGCAACTTACGCATAGGCTTCAAAGTCGCCATTGTTGATGGCCTCAATAAGCTGTTCTGTGATTTTGATGATCTCCTGTTTGCGTACTGTAGGAGGAGGAAGTCAAGTGTCAGGTTTGAGAGGAACTTCTCAAAATTCTCTAGTACGAGCATTATTTGTAAGCAATGTTGCATCTTTTAAAACACACACCAACATATATTCCACGGGTTTACTCTAATTCATTCAGCAGACTCGTTTCTAATCTGTCTGGTTGCATCAGTACACACAAGCTGCTGTGTTAAACAAGGCAGAAGCACACACATACAAAACAGGTTGTCTGAAAATCCACCCAAACAGATTTCAGCCACCTACACTACATGATTTCACACACACCATTTCCTTTCCAGCTCTGTTAGTCACAGGACTAAAACAACTAAATACCACACTGAAGGTTAAAATAACACTCAATCACTACAGGCACAGTTCTCCGTATAACTGTGTTTACATCTGATATTAAGATCAGTCTCAGATGGTCCGATCACAATTTGTCAAGGGGTTTGTTTAAATTATTTAAATATGTAGTCATTTTTGGATTTACATATTTTGCATATAAGAAGTGTATGTGAAACGAAGCAAAAATAAATAGCATGTTAAAAAGTTTCCAAGGTTTAATGTGATCTTCATAAAACAAAGTTATTTTTATTATTAATCAATCAATATATTCATATAAACTATACATTAAATATGCACTACCGTTCACATTTTTTTAAATTAATAATTTTATTCAAAAAGGATGCATTAAAATTACCAAAAGTGATAGGAAAGACAATTCAAATGTCACAGAAAATTATATTTCAAATAAATGTTTTTTTTTTTTTTAACTTTTTATTGATCAAAGATTCATGAAAAAAAGTATCACAGTTTCCACGAAAATACGAAGCAGCAAAACTGTTTTCAAAATTGATAATAATTAAGAAGAAATGTTTCTTGAGCAGAAAACCATAATACTAAAATGATTTCTTGAGGATCATGTGACACTGAAGACTGTGACACTGAATGATGCTGAAAATTCAGTGTTGCCATCACAGGAACAAATTACATTTTAAAATATTTTAAAATGTAACTTTTTTTTTTTTTACACTTTTACTGTATCAAATAAATACAGCTTTGGAAGCCATAAGAGACGTCTTTCAAATACATTTAAAAAATCTTACCAACCCCAAACCTTTGAACAGTAGTGTTTATATATTTTCTATTAATCAGTTATTTTAATAAAACAACCCCAATTGAGAAACTTTTTTCTTTTTACTTTTTTTGTGCTTTATCAACATGCAGTAACACTAGTGAGAGACTCAAAAGTGCTCACTGATGACGCATTTAAGCCCCATGTTCTTGCCCAGGTGTGAGCGATGTGATCGAATGACCAGAGACATCCACACTGTGTGCATGTTAGTCCACTAGCATCATTGCTGCCTTTTTACACTCCCAGGAAATAAAAAAAACCCTCATGCTGCTGTGCCAGTGATGCCAGCACAGACACTGACACCACATACTCACAATGCGCTGATGGCAGGGGGCTCGAGGATGGCTGGGCAGGGGAAGGGGAGGGGTGTGATGGGACAGACACTGGGGCAGTAAGGGCTCTGCTGGCTGCTGATGGCTCACTGTCTGTCTGGGGGGCTGTAGGTCTGCGCACACTGCTCACTAGATCAGTCAAACGTGACACTGGAGTTTGCCGATGCATTATTGCCAAAGGCAGATGACAGAAAAAGAACATGCATAAACAAGCTAGTTGCATTGAGTAATATACATTGAGTGACAAGTTTGCAATGAAGACAAGACTCGGCAACTTCCTTTGTACAACCTATCTGCATACTGGCCCATCAGGGAGGGACTTACTCTGTGTGGGAATGTTTGGGGTCTGGGGAGTGGAGGGGGCAGAAACTACAGCTGGAGTGATAGTGTTTCCCCCCTCAACATCAGATGTGGGCACCGAGCCCCGACGTACCACACCCAGCAGATCAGTGAACCTAGTGGCAGCTGTGGGCCCAGACAGGGCAGGACAGAAATAACAGTGGAGAATGGAGATGAGCTTAGAAGAGGAGAAAAGAAACGTTCACCCAAAATTTAAATCTATTTTATCATTTACATACCTTTATGCCATTTAAAACATTCAATACTTTTTGGGTAAGAATATTAAAATATCTAGTCTTTCCCTCACACAAATCTACCACATAGCTTCATAAAACTTAAAACATAAATTATTATATGGATTGCTTTCATGATACTTTTATTGTGCTTTTTTAAATCTTTTTGGAGCAAGGATGACAGAATTTTCTGTTTCTTTCTCTTTTTTTTGTTTTTTTTTGTTGAACTATCCCTTTAAATAAATCCGGAGAAACCATTTGAAATTAGTTAAACGATCAGAACACAGAAAACGGCAAGATTAGGTTTGATTAAAAACAATTAAGTATCATGTTTACCAATAGAGAACAGAAAGTAATAATCCTCACTGGTACTAATGGGTGAATATGACCATAGTACTCATTTACTTTTTAGTGCTGATCTGTATCACACACATGCACAAGGAGATGATGGGAAAGTGGGTGATGTCACTGCAGTCAGAGGGCACTTACTGAAGACAGCGGGGGAGGGGCCTGGAGGTGTGTGGGCGGAGTCAGGCTGGGTGCTGGGGTTTGACTGAACTGAACTGTTATCTACAGCCTTTCCTGTGACACGCCCCCCCAACAATGCACAGAGATACATGAGACACAGAAAGCATGGGTCAAATTTATATCAATAAGATTTTTGCAGCCATTCCCAAATCCATTGCCAGAGGAGCCAGATACCTTCATGTCACGTGTGGCGATTCCAGCTAAGTGTTAATTCAGTGTAGACGACAGACAAATGAAATGCAATACAAAGTTCCTATTCTTAATCCGTGTCTTTTTTCTGGCAAAAATCAAAAGATTCTTAAAGAAATAAGTCACCCAAAAATGAAAATTCTATGAAGTTTGGTTAAGAGACACTTTCCAATTTACCTGAGAAGCAAAGCTGGACATAATATTAAGACTTGGTTTCAGATAATATATCTTGAATATCACTGTACAGTATTTTGTCTTGTTCCACTGGCAGAATTTTTTTCTAAATGTATTATTATATTTCTTAAGTTCTAACATCTATTTTCTGCAGTGCATGACAACTGCTTGTATTACCATGAATAGAAATAAAGCGAAAGAAAGACTGAGCAAAAGATGACCACCCAAAATTAATCAAGCAGTACAGTGAATTATATTGAAACATAATACATTTAAACACAACAAAATAGACCAAAGCTTTACAAAATCAAATCAATATACTGGACGATTAAAAGTAAACAGCATGAGGACCATAAAGAGCATGCTAGCAGGTAGCAGATATCAAGATGTTGCTTCAAAGCGCATATTCAGAGTTTGAAAATTCTTATTTACAGTCATAATAAATTCACTTCTTTTCAAACAACTGTTATTCAAACAGATATTCCTTACAGTCAAGCTAGCATAGATGTTATAAAGCAAACCTCTCACAGCTGCGCCATCATTCATCACTCAACTATTGCAGACAGATATTTCCCAACACTACCTAGAAGTAACACACACACACACACACACACACACACACACACACACCCTTCTCACCGTCTCTTTTGTGTGATCTCGAAAACAAGACATCACGCTCCTGTCATGCACCCTGTGTGCCCAGAAATTTGGCGGCAAGTTTTCTCCTCATACGCACACTCACACACATGCTCTGAAATAGCCAGGGTCTCTGTTTCCCACTGAGGTTAATTATAGCACAAGGTGCCCTTGTCTTGTTCTGGGGCAGAGAGAGCTGACACAGACGCTGAAAGTAGGAGCGACACCAACACAGAAGTGAGCACTGAAAGAGCTCAGTCTAAAACTGTTCACTAAATGTGTCAGTCTAACATTAAATGAACAATCAAGTGGATCTAAAATGTTTAGACTTTTGTTCATCCTCTACATACACTACCATTTAAAAGTTTGGGGTCAGTAAGATTTTTATGTTTTTGAGAGAAGTCTCTAATGCTCTGCAGTTATTTGATCAAAAATACAGTAAAAGCACTAATATTGTGAAATATTATCATAATTTAAAATATTAAATATTGTAATATATTTTAAAAATGTATTTTATTCCTGTGATGGCAAACCCTAATTTTTTACTCCTCACCCATTTTTATGTGCATTTCAGGATACTGCATTTTAAAAAATCTGGATGGAAACGCCAAGATACGCATACATTCTAAAAATGTGCATAAAAAACGTATGCACTCAATTGAGACAGATACATTTTTTATCTGACAAACTACGATGGAAACACATTTACCGTATAAATCTCTCGATGAGCAACAAAAAACTCACTTGACTTTGCCTCAACAGAGGATGTGATTGGATAACTGGACTAAGCAGCGGATCAATGTCATTGCACAGCATCTCAAATGCTGGTTTGGCCATTCTGAAATGTCATTGATTTGGTTTAATTCCCTCCCAGAAGTGTCCCCAAACACCGGGCATGCGATCACAAGATAACATGGCAGCGTTATTTCGTTTCGTCTGCCAGTTTGTTGTGTTTAGGTGCAAGTATGATGTTCTCTTGAACAGATCGGATGGAAAACACTGCTTTATTTGCAAATGTTTTATGTGATATTCCAATTCTGCCCATAAGTTAATTTCGCAACTTTGGATGCAAACATAGCTAGTGTCACATGATACTTCAGAAACCATTCTAATATGCTGATTTGCTTCTCAAGAAACATTTCTTCTTATTATAAATTTGGTAATATTTTTTCCAGGTTTTTAAAGAATCGAAGGTTTTGAACTAGATTTGAAATATAATTCTAAATGCCTTTACTGTCAATTTAGATTAATTTAATGAATCCTTGTTGAATAAAAGTATTCATTTCTTTAAAAAAATCTTTCTGACCCAAAACTTTTGTATGGCTGATTTGTTACTCAAATCTGATCTTTAGGACTGACTGTTTGCACTGTAATTATGCAAAATCTGATTTTGAGTTTGTTCCAACGGTGTAGACAATTATCCCTATCTACATTGGTTGCCATAGCAACGATTTAAAGGGATAGTTCAACCAAAATTAAAATTTAGAAATGATTTACTCACCCTCATGTATTTTCAAACTACGACTTTGTTTCTTCTGCGTACCACAAAAGAAGATATTCTAAAAAATGTTTAAGTGTTTTTTGTCTATACAAATAATGTCAATGGGATGCAATGTTGTTTTGGTCCCAACTGACTTTCATTGTATGGAACAGTATGAACAGTTGAAACATTCTTCAAAATCTCTTTTTTGTGTGTGAGTTCTGAAGTAAGCAAGCCATACAGTTTTGGAACAGCATGAGGGTGAGTAAATGATTACAGAATTGAAATTTTTAAGTGAACTATCCCTTTCACATCAGCACAATGTGAAAAGACATAAGAAAGCAGATGACAGCCTGAATGTACTGAACAAAAATCATATAATTTTTGCAGTTCAAACTACAAATAACTAATCAGAATTTTGCTGCCTGTCTGAATAAAACCATAGCACTCTTTGCTGAAGAGTTGCGGTGTGTGTTGCTCCATACAAATGTTGATTGTTGTTTCTTACCTTTCATTTCCTCGTCCTCCACTGTGGCATTACTGCTGTCCGACGACTCCTGTGACATTCAGACACAGAGCACAAATCAGTTTGGCAATATATTAACATTTTTCAGAAAGAATACCAACTAGTGCCAAAGTCCTCACTCTCGTTGCCATACACACACCATAAATTAACATAAACTGCAGAACTCTGGGGAATCACACGATTAACCAATCAACGATGCATGACAATGTCAGCACGACTGTTAGAAAAAGCTTGTTATTATAATTGTTATAATCCTACTCACATACAGGGATATTAAACACAAGCCACACCTCCACTGGGAATAAACGTAATGAACTCAATACTCTTTCCTAATTTTATAACATCCTGTGCTGAAATCTGAGAGATAGGCTGCGCTAATGAGAAGAATACTGCAAACGCTTCCACGATCAGCATGGGTATGAGGAAGAGACAGTAATACAAAACAACACATTCTTGGCCTCCAGCAGTCTTCTTTACTGCATACTGAATACACATTTATTCTGCATCATGTGAATTCATGTTCATTTGGGTAAATATGATTCGAAGGGTCTTACTAAGCAGCCTCAGATTGTTCGGTTGAAAAAAAAAAACCCACAAAGTGTGGATATGAAAAGGGAAGTTATGTCCAATTGAAGTATAAGCCATTTAGGAGTAAATGCACTATTACTAGGGTGGAGGCAATTATCAAAAGGTTGCATGATGTTCTAATCCTCGAAAACCATGAAAAAAAATGTATAACTACAAAAGTAAAAGGAAATACACCTAGACATTACATAAGGCTTCACTTGCAGGGAGTATAAATCAGTGTTATTATTAACTAAAACTATTAAAACATTTTGGTAATTGAAATCAAATAAAATCTAAATCTTAAAAATGAGAAATGTTACCATGGGAACTAACTGAAGAACTAAAACTTATTTAAACTAAAATAAAATAACTTAAAGGCACAGTATGTAAGTTTCACTGTAGAGGTCACTAATTCAAACCTATAATAAAGGCATAACTTGATGAAGCTGTGAAGGAGTGTGGAATCATGGGAGTTGTTGTCTTCACCTCCACAGCTGATGGAAAGCAATCGGACAGGACTAAAGCACAAATCATGTTCATGAATAAGCTAATTTATTCAAGTTTTATTAATGTTACTGTGGTATGAAGCAGGCCGCTGCCGTTCCTTTCCCTTTTTGCTTATTCATATTTTACTATTAAAGCTCCGTTCCTTCCTTGAACTTGAACTTTGTTACAGTTACATTTGATCACTTAAATTCACATGTAACGGCTGCAAGTGTTATGTTAACACTATTGTGCGTTAGCTCTGTGGCGGGTTTGAGACACTTGATGCACACTGCAGTACGCTAGATCTATATTAGAATATCATATTAATAAATGCTGGGTTACTTGTGCTGCTAAATGGCATGCAGTTAATTTTAAAATGTATTGTATTGTGGAGAAAATTCTTTTTTACTGTTCCTACAAATAAAGCTCTTTCTGATTTTGCCATGTTAGCTGATGTTCTGATTTCTGATTAGCTGATATAAATCATGTTCTGATTTACTTTTTGGGTACAAACATGTTACACACGGTAAGTCAAGAAAACAAGAGATTCAAATAATAAGACTAACCGGGTTGAGCTATCACTTGCAATGCTAGTTTTAATTGCTATAAACTAACAATGATTAGTTTTCTGTCGATAAAGGTATCCAAACAGTTGCTCACCTGTTTTAACAGAATTATTAGATCAACCTTGATTTAATCTAGATTTAGGCTTAATCCTTATTGGTGCAACCCACCAATTAAAGCGCCTTTGGTGTTTCTATGGTTTCTACAGAAGTAAAACTGGAACTCGAGGGTAAGGCGGATATGACGTCATTGACAGGTGACGCAATGACACGGGACGTTACACTGGTTAAAATAGCTTTCTCTGGATTTAAACATAGTTGGAAACATTTGGAATAATTTAAGTACAAAAGCCAACAATATATATAACATTGTTCTAGTGGCTCTTGGATATTATAATCCTAAAATCTTACATATTGTGCCTTTAAAACTATATAAAAATATTTAAAAAACAAAAAATTCGAGAATTAGCCTGTCATGTAAATAATAATGCATATTGTTGGACTATGCAGTTTAAACTTTATTGTAAATATCAATAAATTACTATGTTCACTAGATGATTGTATGATAAAAGTATGGTGCTGTATTGGGTCACCACTTGAAAGTCCTAATGCAAGGACTCTGTTCAAGTGGAAGGATCACAATAAAATTCGTATTAACATTTTTTTTCCCAAGTCCCCTGAGGTGAAAAGCTTTTAATGTTGTTGTTTATATATCTATTTTATGTTTTTAATACACTTTAAGACAAACCATGTACAAATTCTTAAGTCGGCACCATTGCTGAGTATTTTCTCCTTAAAATTGCAGTGAACCAAAGACAGTCTCAAAAACGTGGTTTGAAATCGCTGGTGTTTCTGACATCACAAACTACCTTGTAACCAATCACGTCAACGTGTGATCGTCAGCGAGTGGATCTCTGAGCTGGTGTTAGTGGAGGCGGGGCTAATTTGCATATTCATAGAACCACGTATACTAAATGAGGCAAGGGTGTAGTGTTACATTCAAGCTATTTTAAGGCATGAAGAAAAAAAATGTCAAGGAAAAATAGTTTTAGCAAAGAAAGAACGTTTTAGCAAAAAGTTTTAGCAATAGTTTTAGCAAAGAAAGAACGCACTGGAGGTCATGAAGTCACAGCTGAAAGGTGCAACAACACCTTGAAGCAGCAAGTGTTTACACTACTGCACATTCTCCCGTACCTCATTGCTCAATTGAATGCATCGACAGAATAGGAAACAAGGAGGAGGGCATGGTCACCTGAGAAACGGGACCATGCACCTGTCCCAGCGTAACCGTGGCGATCACCAAGGACACCAACTCCTGCTGTAAATAGGCCATCAGTATGTGGGGCGATATATTTAGGTGCTCCTGAAAAGACTTTTGTTCTCTCATTCCATCATCTACGCTGCACTACAGACCTTGTGACACCTGTACAAAGAAAGTGACAAACGTGGAGAAGTGGACAGCTTCCCACGCACAGCTCAGATTAAGCCCAATTCAGAAAACACACAGAACAGCAAGCAACCGCTGACAGAACAACCAGAGCGGCCCAGATCTAGACTTTACTACCGCCACCTGGGAAACTCAAAGTCCTGGTGTTGACTATGGGGACATGTGACATCACAGTTTTTAGCCCAATTTGATTCTACATCCACTTGCCTCTGAAAAATCTGTACATTTGAATCTTTCAAAAAGTTTTTCTCCTAATAACAATGTGTAAATTTACTATAACCTCAGCATAATATTTTCTTTGCCTTCGAAATACAGGCACAAATCAACATTTACATTGTATTGATGGATAGTTAAACTTACAAACTGATTAATTATTATAAGGGATAGTTCACCCAAAAATTCAAAAGCATTTACTGACCCTCAAGTTGTTACACACCTGTATGAATTTCTCTTTTCTGTTGAACACAAAAGAAGATATTTTGAAGAATATGGGTAACCAAACAGTCGACGGTCCCTATTGTCATCCATAGTGTATGTAAAAAAGTCAGTCAATGCGGCCCATCGACTGTTTGGTAACCCATATTCTTCAAAATATCTTCTTTTGTGCTAAGCAGAAGAGAAAAATGCATACAGGTTTGGAACAACTCGAGAGTGAGTAAAGGATGACAGAATTAATTTTTTTGGGTGAACTATCCCTTTAAATAAAATCATTGTTATACTTTTCAGCACAAACTTTTTTTATTTTATTTTTATTTAAGAGATGCTTGCAAAATAATTTCCACAGACACATTAAACATGTTCCATTTTATATTTTTAAAAATTAATTGTATAATTTCTCTACCACTTAGGCTACCGTACAAAATGCATTTTAAAAAGAATGACTTTTTGTCAAATATATATATTTAATGTTTGTTTCACAACTTGCACTTTCAATGTCTACCACAAGAGGTCACACAGTCCGAAGCACAGCCACAGAGACCTGAGACAGCTGGTTTAGTATTCTTATCATGGCACAGATTTCCAACTGTTGCTCTTCAGATTCATACTGCAAACATCTGATGTGTCAAGAGTCATTTCCCATCATCACGATCATTAATAAAAAACATAATTAAACAGACCGTTCATTTATCTCAAAACTGGCACATACAGAAAGGAGCGTCACACCAACAAATCTACAGTTCAACATGTCATGCGTTTCATTAGAGGAACACGCATACTCATTTGCATACGTTTAGTTAAATCTTGAAACGTTTTCATAGAGTACAAGTGCAAGTACACATTAAACTTCAAAAGGGTCACGCGTGCAGCCAACGGGCAAAGACACGCTTGGATGATGTCATAGTCTGTAGACACATTAGCAGAAATGCATTGTGGGGATGCAGATCAAACAGAGGGTTGGTGGTGGGAAGGAAAGATGGTGGCGGTGGGGTACCTTAATCCCATCCACTGCATTATGGATGACAGTGGTCTGTGCCTCCTACAGAGAGACAGGGGAGGAGGGGGTGGACAAACATGAGGAGAAAAAAGAATAAGAGAGAGAGAGAGAGACTGTGTGTGGGTGGATGGGTGTTTGTGATTGCCAACCCAGTAAAAATTAACAAACAAAATATGCATGAAAACCACCAGAGGCTCAACAACAGAGAGCTTCTGTCTTCATAAAACAAATGACTGCACATGTTAGGCTATGCTATTTCAAAAACACCAACTACGAAGTCAAATTAGCAACGTAACCTATCGCTTTCTCACTGAAAGTGAAACAGTGTGATTTTGACAGAACTACTGCGGATGCTTTCGCAGCTTCTAAAAACATGTTTATTTTATGCCGTCTCTTTTTGCAGCCCCCGGAAACTTGTTAGCTAGATACACATCAGACTGTATAAATCTGTAATACACAATTCTCTCTTGCAGGAAGTAACATTCCCTCACTGTCCAATCAGCAGCCTGCGTTCCCCATCATTATGAGGTATTCATTGCCATGACAACCATTGCCCAGTGCAATAGGCAACACAGAATCTATAAGAACCTGCAAATACTAACAAACAACTACTATCATAAATTTAATTCAAAATTGCCAATTCATATCCAGGTATATATAGCCTTACGACAAATTGTGTTTTAATGGTGTATCTGATTCAAACAATAATAGCAAAAACAGTGTTAGCGTTAGTACAGTCCTGTTCAAACTCTGATATTTTATCTTCAAACTCAATAGTTTATCTGACGTCATTAAATATACATTTTTCAAAATATTCAAACATTTTAGTAAAATAATCAAAATATATAAAAATTGTTACTATACTTTTTTATATTGAAACTTAAATAAAAATATTATAATTCATCATTCATTCAGTGAAATCTTTCGTCTCAATTATAAAAAATGTAAAATAAAATAATAATAATTTTTATTATTATTAATAACCAATTATAATAATAATTATTATTATTATTAATGATGATGTTTTTTTTAGATCTCACATTTAACATTGTGAATGTCCTTGGCTGTTTGGTTAAAATAATGGCTAAAAAATACAAATATCACCTAGCCCTGCATAATTGTACAGTTAATAGTAAAGCTAGAGGGGAAGCCATGAAACAAAGCACTAAGGCTAAAGTCTTTACAGACCATAAACACCTCCTCACTTTACTTCAAGGCTGAGTAACTATATCTGCACCATAAAACACGACACACACACACATACACACACAGGCAGCATTAAAGGGCAACTATGAGGGATCCTAAAATATTTTTGTGTATTAGGCCACGTGTTGCAATAGCTGTATATGTTGGAACGCATGTTTCCATTAGGAGCTTCCTTCTTCAATGCTCAGGGTTCACTCTAAAACCTATTTACTGAGCTTTTACAAACCACAAACATCTACTAAAGTCTCCTCAGAACATAGACTATCTATCTGTTTCACTTAAGCATGTCATTAAACATTAAATAATCACATCACCCATTTACCCACAACCCTTGCATAATGACATACTGTTTTATTAAGTTTCCTGCCAGCTCCATGTAATAAACAACCTTCATCATCCACAGATCAAAGCAGACACTGAAAGGCAAAGTGGCATTATGCAATCAAATAAACGACCCCATAAATGCGTGCTTAGAGAGTATAGTAATATATCAGAGTGACAGAGCACAACTGGATAAACAGAGCTTAACTGGGTCCATGGACAGATCCATTAAACATACTGTATAGGGCTGAATGTGGAATAGTGTGGCGCCTTTAAGTATTTAAAGGGGTCAGGAACTACATTTCGTTAAATTTTATAATGTTTTCTGAGGTCCACTTATGTTATCAAGATTTTTACATCTAAAAACATCCTAATTTAGAAGAAACAAGCTATTTTCTATCCTTTTTTTGACCGTCTTCCAAACACTTCATTTTGAGGCGTGCCGCATTCAAGACTTGGAAGTTAACGCCCACTGCTATGATTGGGTAACAGTTTTGCATATTCAAATCATTTCAACGTCCTCGCCATTAGACGTGTGGAATTGTTTTGAAAAGTTCCGATGAAGAATATCTCGTTACATACAACATCCGCCAACAATGTGAAATATTTATGCATATTAAATAACTCTTGGTTGAGGCAAATTAAGTTTTTACTTAAAGTACTTTTTAGTTTCCACAGTTGTAATTGACAAAGGATGACTTGCGGTGTTTCATGTAAACGGAATTATGAATGAATGTGCAATTGTTTGTCACACTGTTGTTTTTTTAGGCTATTCAGTTCATTCTTTTTGATTAAGTGAAAAACGTATACATTGTCATTTGCAGTGGCGTGTTTTAAATAAAATAAAAAGTGTAATATAATTACAGATGAAAAAATACTTGCCACTTTAAAAAATCTTGTAATCCTCAGAAGCATCTCTATCGTTTTGTTGCTGGAGTTTTTCTGTGTTTGCATCAGTCTCGTATTTATTACATGACATGCGCAAATCGGTGGGCGGGGCTAAAGAGGCAATGGTGTAGAAGGCGGCGTTGGTCTTCTTTTGTCGCACTATAACAAAATCCGAAACAAGTCATTTTCTGAGCTTGGTTTCAATAAAAGCTAGACTAATAAGATTGCGATGTGAAATTTACAGGATATTTGTATAGTACAAAGACCTCTTATATGCCAAAAGATAAAAGAAAATGTGATTTCTCAATTCATGACCCCTTTAAATAAAGTCGCTGTTATTCTTTTCAGCATTAACAAGCCATTAGCATTGGTTTAAAAGAGTTTTATAAGAGATACTGTACTTGCCAAAAAAATGAATGATGTAGTGTAATCAGCAGGCATTATGCCTGGTTCAGATTACACGATTTTTTTTGTCTGTTACGATAGTCACTGTGTCAGATTACGCGATTTTGACTCCTAAAATCTTGTCGTGTCGTGGACAAGAAACATGTCAGACTACACGTTGCTTCCTGACCAGTCATCGCGTGCCGTCTTTAACGACATGCGTGATGTCATCGAGAAAGCGAAACTAGTAGCGAGTGTCTTCCAGAAACTAACGTAAACAAACAATGGATGAAGCGGTGAGTGTTGTATTGGATGTCCTGTGTTCAGAAAAAAGTAAAAAAAGAAAGAAAACCCGACAATGGACACATTCCTGGATAGCTCGAAGAGGACAGTATGGGCTGTCAATCCTCCAAAGAGAACTTGAGGTAAAATATTGTTTTCTGTTACTGTTGCCACAGCTCCACGAACCTTTCCTCCATGTCATAACTCCACCTAGTAGCACAATCGTCTCTCTTTCGTTTCGCCATTTTTGAAAGTTGTGTACGGAAAAGCTTCTGTGCTCCTATTGGTCAACCTCATACATGTGACGGAAACCATCGTGGAAGACCGTTAAAAAAATTAAACATGCTAGTCTTTTTGTCATGATGTCGTGAAGCATCGCAGACGCGACGTAGGTTGTCGCCCACTATGACACTATACGAGATGATACGATCGAATCTTGCGTCCCGACGCCCGTTGTCGTTTACGAATCCCCACGACACCCTACGTCAAACAGATCGTGCCAAAATCGGGCTAAAATCGTGTAATCTGAACCAGGCATTAGATATTTAGAATGTTACATTTAGAATTAAAACTTCTATTTCAAATAAATGCTGTTCTTTGAACTTTCTGAGATGCACATGGGAACTGTACTGCTCAGGACTGTTAACATTCAACTCAACTGACATCAACACTAGGCCCAGTGGGTTTAAGCGAGGAACACCATTAAGGATCTCATCTCAGTGAACCAGACAACATCCACTTCTCAGCACTGCGGCCAGGAAACTGTAAGAACAGTTTAAAGGCTGATTCTAAGAGCCCCAGGAGGAGCTTCTATCCCCAAACCAATCCAGATCCTGATGATAATGCTGCGAAGGAGGTAGACATTTTGAAGCATCATCGTAAAATCACAAAAATAATATCACACTGTGACCTTTATCAGTGTAGTGAGTGACCCCAAAAGTTGATATGCAAGAATGACATTGCATTAGATAACTAATCATCAAACCATGAAGTGCCATGAAATGCCATGAGGTTTAGAAAAAAAGCATTGTTTTTCACAAAGACTTTTGGTATGGTTTCAAATTGATATTCTGTTCAAAATGAATGCATATGGACAACGTTCATCATTCTAATATATATAGACCAAGACAAAGTCCTATAAAGACCAAGTCCAAATAATAATAATAAAATAAAAAAAACTGAAAAAACAACGTAAGAAAACTAAAATATTCGCAATGTACTAAAGAATGCAGGTACAGTCACAGACAGAGGGGGAAAAGGATGGAGAGGAAGAAAAGAAAAGGATTAGAGAGGTAAATACCAGAGCAGGAGAGGGGAGGTTTCCTTTGGGACTGGTGACTATGCTGTTTTTGGTGCTGTTTGTCTGGGGCTGTGCAGGGAAACACAACATACGTTCAGTTAAGAAAGGGTCAGGTTAAAAAGGAACGAGGGAGAGATCAGCGTGCACATGTACACAAATCACACAAACACAAGAGGTAGGGCATGGTCATTATCTATTTTCTAAGGCAACTGATTGATGTAGAGCCAACTGCCTATTTACATGAAAACAGCATTATTCTTTGAGACCCAATGTTCTCTAGCAGCGAGAGGCAAGGGGGGGTCATTATTAAAGTCCATAAAATGCTTTTCGCCAATTAGGCTCCCTAAACTAATCTATTATACCAATTAGCCACATTACATGCAGAGGCGGATTAGATATGGGTGTTTATTTATACTCGGGGTCCCTCAGCTCTCATGTCTATGGGCCTTCAGTGGTTTAGAGGTAGTTAACGGTCCTCTTTCCCTCACACAGCTCAGGCACTCATGCGAGAAGTGTCATTAGTACAGTATGTGCCTATGTGCGGGAGGTATGGTCAAGGGAGATGAATGAGCAGCAGCCCAAAACTACTGGACCCTCACAGACATCAAATAAACCCACATAAACAAGCACAAACATGTCATTAAGTGACTTTGACACTATGGGCAGACATACACATTCAAATACATACTGTTCCTGACAAGTGGACCACTTGATGGCTAGCAGAATTCCTTAACAATTCCCAAAAACTTATTGCAGTAGGTCATGGATCTCCATGGAAGTCCAACTTTATCCAAGTAAACGGGATATCTCCAGGAGGGACAACCAGGAATGTTATCCTCTTATGGGACCCACTCATAAGACAAAAAACAATACTGAGCACCAAAAATATAAGCGTCAATCCTGCAAATAAATATTAGGTGGGGAATCAAGCAGATACTGAATGAGGGTTTGGTGCAGTCAAACCCCTGGGATGTGCACAAATAGGATCTTCAGACATTTGTAAGCAGGAACTAGGAAAACAGAGGGTGTTATTCTGCATGTTTATTCCACTGCCTACCTGTGTATGAACAGAAAGGCCTGTCCTAAATCTGCTTTGGAAAGCTTTTTAGAGTGGTCAGTATTAATCAAAATACATCCGATTGCCAACATGCAGAATGAGACCTAAGAGGTAAGTGGTGTCCATGGGAGTTGGCTAAAATCATTCAAAGTAAAGAACAGGAGGAAGAAGGAACAAAGTGTTGATCAGAAAATACTAAACAAGAAAGTGGGACACATTTACAGGGTCCAAGTGGTCTCACAAAGCCTGGCCTCTAACTAAACTGCAACAAGTCTTGTCCACAGTTTGTTCAGGCCAAGAACCGCCCACTTAGAAATTCGGAGACTGCCTGATTGACATGTAAAGCAATCTCTGTTCATTTAGTTTTTATGTGCCAATCAAGATTACATGTGTGCCCCTAAGGCCCATTCACACCAAAGATGATAACTGTAACAATAACGATAAAGGCCTGGTATATGTCATTTCAGGCCAAAACAAAGTTTGTTTGCAGTTTGAAACAGATTGACAAAGCAAACTTTCCAAAAAAGTTATTTTCATATCTACTGCTGTAAAGCTGCTTGCTTTTAAAGAAACCTATTGTATGAAGTGCTATAAAAATAAACGTGACACCACTTGACTAGAGGGCCAAATTGTAGAGCTAGTGAAAACATATCCACATCAAATGTTTTTAACTGCTGTTTGCATACGTCATTTTAGCCCTAAGTGAAGAAAAATAATTTTGCAGTGAGAATATTAGAGCCTTAACTATATAGCTTCAATAACCTTTCTAAATTTATGAAAATAGCAAAGTCCACATTACAGCTATTATGATAAGAAAACAGAGGAACATCATTGGAATCACTTTCAGAACATTTTTTTCCAGCTGATAAACAATGAAAACATTGAGAGCCAATCAGAATCCACCCAGCTTTAAAGATCTCTAGCGTGACACTTATAATAAACAACATTATCGTCCGTTGGTGTGCACACTAATATAGTTATTGTTATATTTATGGTCATTCTTGGTGTGAACTGACCTCTTCCCTTGAAAGCTGCTTAAGTCAGCTGATCAGATCATATGAATCAGGTGCTCAGTGGATTAAGTGTGGGCAGTCTGTAAGGCTGAGACTAAGATCCAAGATTTGTTGATCAGGAATAAACAAGCTAAAAAGAAGCATTTGTTTAAAATAGAACCATAAAGTACCTGAAAACTGAGAGTATTTTATTATGTCCCACAGAAATGCAGGATCTGAAGTATGAATTTAGAGGGAAGTGTTGCACATTATCAGGTAGGTGGAGGTACAAGTGGAGAGGAAGATGAAAGAAAAATAGGAAGGTGTAAATGAAACAAGATTCTCACCATGTACTGAATGGTAGAGCTCGACTTCCGCTTCTAGAGAGAGAATGAGAGGGAGAGAAGTGTGAAAAATGGAGAGAACTGTGAGACGATATATATAAAAGAGTAGCCTGTTTGATAACGCTTTTCATCTGGGGTTCAGATAAAAGCATCAGATACAGCCAGAGCCGAGTATACCAGCCAAAGAAAACAATCTGAAGAATCATTTTGGGGTGTAGGTGAAGGTTTGGGTTTAGAGCAAGACAATATGTAGACTTCTTCTGTACAACAGGACATTTGGAGAAAGAGGAACAAGGAAGGGGTGGGCCAAGTGAAGGAAAAAGGAGAGAGAAACATGCAACTAGCAGAAGAATAGTTGAAGTGCACTTGAGGAATGATCAGTGTAAGCAAAGTTAACTGATCCAGGGTCACTTGTTCGAGACATATTCGAGATAGTTTCCGTTCTGAGATAATCTGGTCCTAAACCTGGAGCAGGGAAAACTTAGGAGCTACACAAAGTAGGAATTGATGTGCAAGGACAGGCAGGGATGCTGAGAGAGGAAGCGAGCACAGTCTGTGCGGTTCAGTGATATTTTTTGTCCTAAAAAAAAAGGGCAGCCAAGAACGAGTTATATTAAGCACAGAATGTTCTCAGAAGCGCTTTGGTTGAAAATGCAGCAGTGCAACTTCCAATCGCTGCAACTGCCTTATTAAAAAAACAAAAAACAAAAAAAAACGCCTCCAATTCTAAAGCAGAATTACATAACCAGCATTACTGCAAAGATTTAGACACAAAGTAAGGAAGTCAGCTTCAGTTATTTTGAAAAAAATAGTGACAGAAACTAAATAAAGAGCAGCTCAACATGATCTTTGGACACGGAGCATAAAGGTGAAGGAAGGTGAGATTAAAGTAATCATGAAAAGGAGAGAAGAAATGGTTTTAAAATGGTTGGAGGACGTGGGGGAGCCTGTTGCTAGGCGATGAGAGGAGCGATGTGCTGCTATTTTCGTCTCAGAGTTTCCAGGGTTTCAGAATCACGGCTATTCCTGGAACCAGAGTCACATTCCCTGCTGAACTATTTCTCCACTCACACACACATGGAGATAGCAGGTGTGAGTCACAGAGGTGGGTTGTGGGGTGACGATAAAGTAGAAACAGGTAGGAATGTTAGCGAGTGTGTGTCTACAATCACTCTCATAAGTGTTAAGTGCAGTTCATCTCTGAAAATCCTGTTTCATGAATCAAATTATGCTGGCTCTTGTAGAAGATTCCATAGATTCCTCAATGACATCACAGCCGTCATCGTTATATCATTCTCCTAAACGTCTCCCACACGTCCACAGGCGCTGACGGAAATAAAACAGTAAAACATCATTCCGTCTCATCTTTCAGTGGTATCGCTGGCTCCATGACCGGATAGAGCTTGTTACGGTGTTTGGTAACACTCTTATGACTGCTAGAGAGCCCAGCAAATTCACTACAATACTCATCATGAGGTTCATTGCATAATCCGCAACCGCATGCTATTTTTACATTTTTGCACAAATGTGTGGACCCCTGTGGGATGAATTTAAATTTGGGGAAATGTGTTAAAGGTAGCTCTTATTGGTAGCTAAATAAATGTATATTTTCATGTTCTAATGACTGCTAAAGAGTCCAGCAAATTTAGTGAAATACTCAATGCAAAAGCTCATTGCGTAATCCACATGGTATTTGTACACTTTCGCACTAATAAGTGGAACCCTGAGGGATGGACTGAAATATGGGGAAATGTGTTAAAGGTGGCTAATATATTCACATGTTACCTTTAAATCAGGGATATTTACCTTTTTACTCATCCTCATTCATGTCAGTCCAAACTTGTGTTTTGTTTTACTTTTTTTTTTTGGAACAACAAAAGATGATGTCCAAGCTGCTCTTTTGCTTACAATGAATGTGGATGGTGACTATTGGCTGTCAAAGCTGAAAAGGATACAAAATGATCTGGAGTCCATAAATGAGCTAAATTACAAGTCTTCTGAAGAACTGGCAGACAGGCTTTGGAAGAGTAGTAATATAGTTTACAAGTCATATGCTTGACAGTCATTGGTCACCATCCGCTTTCATTATATAGAAAAGTGCAGTTTCAAGATAAGCTAATTTAAACTCTTTTGGGGCTGGTTTCACAGACAGGGCTTAAGCCTTAGTTCAATTAGGACATTTAAGTAGATTTTTACATTTTTCTTTAGAAAAACCATTACTGATGTGCGTCTTGAGATAAAACAATGGCACTGACATATTTTAAGATATGTTAGTGCAAGTTTATTTCAGTTAAAACAGCTCAATAATGCATTTTAGTCTGGAACTAGGCTTAAGCCTTGTTCGTGAAACCGGGGGTTAGTGTTTAATGGAAAAATAAAACATAACATATGAAGTCCAACCCTAAATTCTACCCTTTAAAAACAGAGATCTCTGAATATTTGTGATATTTTGGAATCTATCAGTAAGATGAAATCAGTTTTGAGGAGAGGTTGACTAGATTTAATTTGAACAATATTTAAATACAGTTTAATGAGGTGATTTTAGGTGTCAGTGGTCATGTTTTCAGACAGTCTTGTTCTAACACACACACACACACACACACACACACTTCAAACACAATATGAACTGACAACACATGTGTAAAAACAACACAATCATGCAATAAAGAAGACACTCTAAACACACACAGCAAGCACTGACAGATTAGCCAGTAAAATAGCAGGGCGGAGAGACTGAGTAGTGAAAAAAGTGAAGGTGCTAAGAAACCATATGGTCATGTCTGGGTCACAGAGGTCAGAGTTCAACAGATCTTCTTACCTTAACGTCTGCTTTTTTGTTCAACAAGCTCTTGGCTGCTACAATGGGAGGAAATAAGAGAGAGAAGTTAAATCAGCAACACCATATTACATATTACAAAATGTAAATTAACCCGCCGGACAGGCAATTTACCCAGGGCTGTATTTCCTAAAACCAAACATAACACTGCAGATATTAATCATACTAATAATCTTGAACATCATAACTAGGCCCAGACGGAATCTGCGTTTTTTTTTTTTTTTTTTTTTCTTGGTTCTGCATTTATTTTTGAGGGGAAGAATTGTATGGAATGGCTTTAAACATGGTAAGCTATTTTTAAAAACTAAATACATAAATTAGCCAAAACGTTTAATAAACAAGCTCAAAAGAGCCTGGAGATTTTCAAATATTTGTGAATGATAGGCATTCAAATTCTGCCGAAATATCAATAACTTTCAGCAAGGGTAGATTCTGTGTTGGCCTACTCAGAACTCTAACTGATACAGCCAGATTTCTACCAATGACACTTTATAATAAACGTCATTAGTGAGTCTTTAACAATACATAAGATAAGCATATTTCATGTTCAATGTTTCATGATACCTATTTGATTGTGACCAAAAATTGATTTAGTAAGTATTATATAAAATTAATAACGATTTTTAAAGATTAAGATTTATTATAAAGCGTTACCCATGGCTGCTTTGAGTGAACTGTTCCTCATTGTCTAATTAATAAAAAAAAATGATCACATTTATGCTCTTTGTAAGTCTTACAGAAAAGATTGTGGCAGAGAAATTCACTAAGCGATACATTTACATCCGCTACCTTATCACAGAAGCAACAAACATTTTAAAATTAGCTTTTGTAGGTTCAGCCAAACAGTTTCTAAACAGAATAGTTGACCGAGGAACTTTTCAATCAAATGAATTATGAAAATTACAAAACAAAACAAAAATCTGTGTTTTTATGTTGATTTAATAAGTGTTGTTCACCATGATGCTGTAAAAACATCTGACACAATCATTGTCAATATTGGTTCTTGTACCATTTTATATTCAAAATACATTTGCATACAAATACACAGACCCTCTCGAGCAACTGTGCGTGCACCTTTAAAGCGGTTCATTCAAATAGCTTCTGCTTTTTTAGTAATAAACCACAGTAACGCCATTACATTCACATCAAACTCATTCGGCATGTCTGTTTCCTCAAAGACCCACTCAGCCAGAGTTGGTTAGACTATTAATAAAGCAGCACTGAAAAGATTCTCTAATTTTCTATACTTGAGTACTCATACTGCAAAAATGATGCTAAAACAACGTGAAGCCTTTGGCACATTTGTGTATAACTGTCACTGGATTTCAATCACAGTGAAACGTCTACAAATCGAAGTTCAATCAAATCAAGTTACAAGAAAAATAAATGTGTTTAATTTCTGAGTACTCGTGTACTTGCACCCATCCCTACTACACATTTTGAAGGGTGTCTTAGCACTTCTGAGGATAAGACAACTGATCTAGATAGTGTTCATCAGATCAGTTCAGCAAAAAGACTAATTCAGAAAAATTCTGTATTTCTGTAAAAAGGATCCCACAGATTCAGCTTCGTCACCAATAAGACTGTTCAGTGGATGACATGGGCTGACATTATGCAATTAAATAGGTACAACCAGAGTATTTATGACTCTGAGTATTTCTGGTCATAAATCGAAGAACAGGGTCATTCAAGGTTGGAATTTGACAAAGATCCTCCTAGAACTGTATCTGGGCCACCAATCCATCCATCTGGTGGCCCAAAGAGATCAGTGAGACGAAATGAGCATGCATCCCTGTAGAAAGAGCAGGAGTGGTGAAGTAACATTTAATACTCTAGAGTGAGCGGAACTCCTTACCTTGCCATTAACACAGAGAGCAAGAGAAAGAGAGGAAGAGAGAATGGAGAGAAAAAGAGAGAGCAGTGGAGAAGAGGTCAAAAAACCAAAGTCTCGTGCGTTGTTTCTATGTACGGTGAGGCTAAAAAACTGTCTGTGGAGCTGTATATGGGGCTCAAGAAAAAAAAAAGAAGTATGTCAACTTATTTTCAGTACAGTCATCATTTTTCTCAGAGTTTATCTACTTTGCAGGGTCAGAGTCAGCACAAACAAGGTAAAAAAAAAAAAGGGGCAGGCAAATACGTTTGTGCCAGGATGTTTTTGTATAAGCGATTTCACTACTTTAAAACCTAGTCCTCTTTGAAAACTGTAACATTAAATAATATTTAATTAATATTTACATTAAACACATTTATTAATCATTACAGTAATAATATAATATTTATATTAAATAAAGAATATTATCTTAATACAACAGAATTTAAATCTTGTGTTATGTATAATAGATGCACAAGGAAAACTGAGCATTACATAGTTTTTCACTATAAAACATAAAAACTAAAAAAAAAAATAATAATTGTAGACATTTATATGCAGTTGCTCCCCCCTTTGCTGTTAGAACAGCTTTCACTGACACAGTCAAGCTAGTTAATTAGAAGCGGGAGTTCACATACTTGTATATAATATCTCATATGCACTGTGTTAAAGTCAAATCAGAGGATTCGGAATGATCCAGATATCAGTATATGTAGTGTAACTGCCTATAGCACAGTAGTCTGTTTGCTCAGGCTGAGGGTAGTAGAAGGACAACAGAGAGAGGCAGCACTACATAAATATTTGATTGCAGGCATGTGGAGGGAGCATCAAATATGAAGCACAGCCTTCACATTGAGCCACAGCACATGCTCAATGTACCAGCTCAACCCTTCTACCTCACTCATGATGCATTAAAAAAAACAGGAAAAGGAAAAGCTGAAAAACATTTAAACCTGAATCATTTTCTGCAGTCTCATGATGAAGGTAAATGGCAAAACAATGGCACTGACTTCTCCTCCAGAACAGCTGTTTGGATAAATCAAGAAATTCTAATTAATCACATTATTTATTTTTCTCTAAGCTTAAATGTCAATGGCTGTTTGGTCGAAAAGATTCTTCCACTGACAGAAAAACATTATTTGAAACCATTTCAGAGCAAATAAATAAATATCAAGATATATACTGAACGTCAACAAAAAGCTAAAAAATATCTACAATTTTTTTTAGCTACGATATACAGGCCAGTCCTACTCATAACAAATCCAGTAAAATGTCTGGACAAAATTCACACCAAAAATTATAACTTAAAAAAAAAAAAAACTATAACAATAACTTATATTAGCGTCCACACCAATGGAGTTTTCTGTTTATTAATAAGCATGCTATGAAACACAAATTTAATGTGTGGAAATAACACAGTGACTAAGAAAATGTTAAACAAATCAAAACTATCTTGAATTTGTCTTTTGCTTTTCCTTCACTATCTGGTTAAAAAAATTAAATGCAGTCGTTTGACTGTGACATTTGACTGTGACTGATAAAGGCAATGCTGTCATTCTCTTGTTCAAATAGTCTACATTTTAGTCTAGACTACAAATAGTCTACGTAATTACATATAAAAAAAAACCACACACTTAAAGTAAAAATAAGACCTTAAAATAACTACATTTGGCTGTTTGAGCAGATTGCTCAGAAATTGATTCAGTTTGGTTTTGTGATAGATTCTATCACAAATTGGTTTTATGATAGATTAGCAATAATTGATAACCTAGCTATCAGTTCTGGAGGAGATGCAATGAACAAAGAATTGTTGAAATAAGGAGCAAGAAAAAGATTCAAAATTAAATGTTCTTGATTAAACTACAACTATAATGTTTAATTACAGGCATGAAGGCCCAAGATTAACTGTGATAAATTGTACAGTAGTGTAGTGTAGTGTTCTAGGCTAAACCCTATAAAATAATCTACTGCAACTGTATACTCACTATGGCACCAATATGGAACAAAATGATATTGTTTTCATGTGTTTTCCCTCATATTGTGGATCCAGTATTTCTAAACAAGTTCTACATAATTAAACATCCTTTCGATACAAGTATATATGAAATGCTGGTTAAAAAAGGCTAAAGAGTGAAAATAAAAATAAAAAGTTAATTTTTAGAAGAAAAAAATAAATAAAACATTTTGATATAGTGAGTACAGTTGTCAAGAAGCTTTGACCATGCACAAGTGCACAAGATCCATTCAGCCCATCACACCCCCAAGTTAGTGAACATGCATTAGTCCAACCTCCCATGCAGCATTCAGCACAACAGCAGGCAGACTGTTCCACCCCCGGAAACAGGGGTAAACTTCAACTTCACACACCATATTAAAAGACAGAGTAAAGGAAGGAAAGAGGAATACAGAGGATGGAAGTGAAGATGGCTTATGGGTGTCAGATAAAAATGGCAAAGAAAAGTGATGAGGAGGAGGAGGATAAGAATAAACCAGACAAAAAGTCAAAGGCAGTGATTTATGGCAAATATGAAAAGAAGAAATGATGGAGAGAACAGGACTCAAAAAGGAGAGTGGGAAGGAAAAATGAATTCATCATGCAGGGTGTAGCTCCTCTGTGAAATAAATAAAAGATGAATGGAATAATGATGACAGTGATGATGACAGACAGTTTAAGCCCCTTTCACACAGCGCGTTGATCCCGGGAAATTGCCAGAACGCCTTCTGTGTGAACGCAAACACGACCCGGGATTGATGCCGGGATCGATGCCGGGTTGGGGACCTAGTAACATTGCCGGGATCAGTCCCGGAACGCACGCTGTGTGAACAAAAGCCGTAACCAATGCCGTGTCGTAATGATGACGCTGAAGTGAAGTGAAAGCAGGCTAGTGAAACGGTACGTAATGTGCTAGTTTATGATCGAATCAGAGAAAAAAATGCACAAGCGTGGTTTCTCCAGAGAGAAATCGCAGCTCATAAGCAAACTATACACGCTGCTGAGACATTACATGTCAGATCGATGTCACGTGTCTTTACGGGATTTTTACGGGTTGGGTGTGAACGCACTCTCTGATTCCGGAAAATCACTGGCAGTGTGAATGTACCAAAATCAAACGAACCCGGGTCAAATCCCGGGTCGCTTTATCCGTGTATTTTCCGGAATCTCTGTGTGAAAGGGGCTTTAGAGGACCAATAAGTGGCTACATATGATATCAGACATAAACTGCAAAAATGAAGTGAATAATGACACGGGGGTGTGGAGGACAAGAAAGAATGGAAAGAAACAGCAGGAAAGACAGGTAGAGGGTGAGTCATTGTGCACACTTTAGCCCCATGCAGAGACAATCATGGACTAGTGAGTGACAGAGTGGAAATAAGAGGATGATGGGGGGGGGACAAAATATAATGATGTTTAGTTCATAAAAAAATTATGAAAGAAATGGGGAAAAAAGGAAAAATTAAACAGAAAATGAATTCATCAAACAAGGAAACCGAAAAAGAAAATGGAAAGGGAAAGGAAATGATACGGAAATCATAAACTGAAAGGAAGCGGAAAGAAAGGAAAAGGAAAGGAAATGGAAAGAAAGGAAAAAAGGAATGGAAAAAGGAAGGAGAAAATTTTATTGTGAAGTGAAAAAAATGGGAAATGAAAAAGGAAAAGAGAAAGGAAATGCAAAAGAAAGAGAACAGGAAATTAAAAGAAAAACAAAGGAAAAGTGAAAGAAAAAGGAAAATGGACATGGAAAGGGTAAGGGTAAGGAAAAGGGAAAGGGAAAGCAAATGAATTGAAAGAAAAGGGGAAATGGAAAGAAAGGTAATAGAAAGAAAAGAAACATTGAAACAGAAAGGGAAAGGGAAATTATATGGGAAATGAAAAAGTAAACAGTAAAAGAAAGAGAACAGGAAATTAAAAGGAAAACAAAGGAAAAGTGAAAGAAAAAGGAAAATGGAACTGGAAAGTGTAAGGAATTGGGAAAGAAAATGAAAGAAATGGAAAAGGAAACAAAAAAAAAGATATGGGAAATTAAAAGAGAAAGGAAAAGGAAAAGGTAAAAGACAAATAACAGGAAATGAAAAGGAAACTAAAAAGTATATGTTAAAGGAAAATGAAAATGAGAGGGAAAAGAAAAGGTAAAAACCGTGGTGTGTCTATAGAGAATAAGGGGATGGGAGGAGTGTTCAGACAGAGAGTGTCAGAGGAATTAAGCCCAGCAGGGCGGCGCTACCTTGTTCCACCAGCCCTGCTGTGGTGCCTGCAGCGGCGGCTACAGCAGCCGCAGCCGCAGTGACCGAGGCGGGAGCCGTGGTCTGCCTGCTACCCACTAACACACACACCCACACACAATCACAGACAAATTCAGAGGGAGGAACAAAGAGAGAGAGAGAGAGGGAAGAGGAAAGGGGGCAGAGTGAAAGAGAACCATTTATTAGTCTATGGGAGAAGAAATTGTCAGTTATAAGAACACATCAAACCATTTTTTTTCTTTGAGAGACAGGTGGCTCGTAACAAAATGATACCCACTTAAACAGGAGCCATATTGACATCTGACTCTAACATTCAAAATCACACATATTTATCAACGTCCTCTGTTGGACCATCATCTGAAGCGGTTAAAAGCAGAGCCCTGGCATCACAGATGAGATCAGAAGGCAGAATTTGCTACTATAACTACTTGAATTTCCATAAAGGAGATCAAATAAAAGAGAACTGACAGAGAGAGACAGAGAGATTATACGTTCAATGAGGAACCTAGAAATGCATGCTATTTTGTATTATGCATGATATCTGTGAGGTCAGAGCTACATGAAATCCACAAGCTGCGAGATGGAGAGGAAAGGATAGTAAGTAGGTGGTGGGCAGAGAGTAAATGTATACAGACAGTGGTCACAAAAAGTATGTGGACACTTAAACCACACTTAATGTATGAATGTCTATACACTAGTTAAAGGTGAACTATGCAGGTTTTTTACCTCAACCGAACAGCTTCGGAGTTATTGGAATGGTTATATTACTCTTTTCGGGTTGAATGGTGGTCGTTTCGCACCCCCCTATCGCATGTGAGCGGAAAAAACACACTTGCAACTTTGAGCCGGCGGGCCTTAACGAATTGCTTTACGGCAAAAAAGATCTGATAAAATTCTGATAAAATAAGCATCAAACAGAAATAACCCGGCGCCGTATACATGTGATGTTCGAGGCACACATACAATACAGACTGCCGACAGTTAAACAGGGCGCGCGCAGCTCTTAAAGGGGCCACACCTTATTTCAACTCGTTACAGCTTCCATCCTACTGAACAGGTACCGGTGTACAGGGGGAGGGGATCAGGCCGTGAGTGCAGAGAGCCATCTACGCTTTGAGTGCTATTTACGAAAGTACAAGTACTCCACAGCGACTCTAGGGGTCGCTGTTTGACAAAAACGGAGTTCCTGCATAGTGCACCTTTAATGGACTAAGTGGCACTTATTTGTATTACAGATAAGTGGTAATTTGTAATATTTAAAATGATACCAGATAAACTAGTCAAAATTTGTCTCATTTGTATTATTTTTCTATCATATTTGATCTATTGTAATTTGTTTTTATTGCATCACTGTTTTTAAGGACTTTTTTTTTTACTTCCATTAGTTAGCATCACAAACTCTGATATCAAAATTGGTAAATAGAATTGTGAAATTTCACTGGTATCTAAAATGTAGACGTCATAGCAACCTTATTACCAGCAAATATATACGTAATATTGTTCTCGCTATTGTTAAAGGTGCTCTAAGCGATGTCATGTGTTTTTTAGGCCAAAACATTTTTTGTCACATACAGCAAACATCTCCTCACTATCCGCTGGCTGCCTGTCCCCTGAACACACTGTAAAGAAACGCGATCTCTGTAGACAGCCCATGCTTCACAAACAGCACCAAAAACAAACTGCAGCGACCCGCTCCCCAAAACATAACAAACTGTTCCAGCCAATGACCGACAAGAAGGGTTTGGGGGTGTGGTTTGGGGGGTTAGTGTGCGGATGAGGAGGAGGTAGGGTCTAGCTAGCCTCCGTTTTGTTTGACAATAGTTCGAACGTCAACAAGAAGTGACGTCACCCAGGATCGCTTAGAGAACCTTTAAATAAATTACTCATATAAGGTTTTGGTCATATGGCCCACTCATAAGCGTATTAAGTAATCATGATTACAATACTGGCCAAATAATCATAATTATTTTTGGTAAACGTAATATATCAAAAAAATTAAGTTAGTTCTGAGAAACACTCTAGCCATTCCCACAAGGATTTTACAACTGAAATAAATAAAATAAAAACGTGTGATCAAAAATACTGATTTCGTGGTGTTAATTTCCAGAATTTTGTGGAAACTAGCATGTATGCATGATATAAATAGTCATACATGACAGATACAAATGCAGAAGGCTTGTTTATTTTTGTTTTAACAAACTCAGCCACACAATTTTTACACAGATTTGTGTGTATTTGGCCATTTAAGCATGTGTGACATGTTTCTTTATCACACTAATGTGTCAACAGCTTTAAGCAGTTCTATGCTTCTTGTGATCGTTTTGCTGTTAAATGGCAAATAATGCTAGCCTGGATGCCAGCCGAACTTAGCCCCGCCCACAACATTTGAGGATGGGAAGTTCGGTCTGGACTTGATCCATTGAGAAGCAAGTATGCCCGAACCAAAGCTTTTCGGACCAATCAAATTGTCAGGGCGGGCTTTATACGATGATGGACAGATGATCAACCGTAATCATCCACGTCATCAAAGAGCGCTTGGGTTCAAAGAATGGCTGCCGCTGGAGAATTGAGATGTGTAGATTCAGCCATCGCGTCTGTGTTTTTTTTTTTTTCAGGTGCCATTTGGTTTGATTTCTAATACAATGACATTCAAATATTTTAATTGCAATATAAGTGTCAGAATAATTTTTAGGACCATGTTTTGCATTGACAGTCTTGCCCACAAGTCACTTTTATTGAGACCAAGAGACTTAGAACATTTCTTTGGCAGACAGCAGTCAACAAAGCACATCAAGACATGTGATCATACACAGAACAGACTAATCAGAAAACACACAGATCCGTCAACTCGAATATCCATCAAAACCGTTCAAAGAGTTAATATCCAGCTTCATCATACCCGAGTAACTTACCAGAGAAGTTCCGTGACACAAGCATGGTGGTGAGGATGGCCCCCTGTGAGGAGAGGGAGGACATTTAACCTCTTGTGTAAAAATAAAATTGAGTGAGCATGTTTGTGTGTTACTATGAAACACACCTTGAGTTTCCTCCTGGCGTTGAATTTCTTCAGGCATTCCACAGTCTCTTGTCTGTGCATCATGGAAGCCACAGTAGAGCGTTGCTATGGAAACAAATAGGGAAAAGATTTTGACTGTATCTAGACCTGCATTTTAGTCCATGGGCCAAGCCAGAATTTGGTACCACCTAAGGTGGCAAAATCTCTTTGGTACCAGTTTGTTTGTTGAGTCCATATAAGTACTTTGAAACATGATAACCTTTTCAAATGAGTAGCTTTACTAATATTTTGGGACAATCATTATTATTGCCATTATCGTCCTACAGTATCTGCCCCGCAGGTTTGAATGAAGTCTATTATAAGAGGTAGCCATACATGCTATATGTTTATTTTTTCAGGACAGTCAGGGCTATCCAGATCTGCCATCATTTGACATGATATATGTGGTATACGTTTTGTATTAGCCTTCATATTAAAGAAAAATATTTTTGCATCTACTAAATTATTATATTTGTAAATCTATCTCAAAAGATATTGATGTTAAGGGGGGTATCTTTTCAGATATGGATAGACAAGACTGTCTGTAATCTGGTGATATCAGAACCATGATGGTGGGACAATCCATGATCTAGCAATTTGAAAAAATATGTATGTACTGTATATGAAATAATATTATGCAACAACAACAACGACTGGTGCTAGTTTCAAAAGTTTCAGATTACTCCTCCATACCTCGTTGTACAGATAAGCCACTATGTTCATCTGAAAAGGTGAGTCCTGCTGTTTATTTTGATATGCGTTACCCTTGGAGGCTACAGGCACTTCTCAACTTATTCAGCTATGACTCTGCAGTGCGAAAATGAGTGAAGAAATGACCGATGATTGCAACTTTGTTTTATTTTAATTAGATTTTTCAAATCAAGATTACTCAGACCATCTTTGTTCTACCAGCAATCTACTAGCATCACTGTGAAGCAGAAGGTCCACTTTTTCATTTGATACCTATTTTATAAAATAAGAACTTTGTGAGTAATTAAAAATAGATTGATGAGTGTGTGGAGATGCGAAGTAGTTTAAGACGGTTGAAATTTCAAGCATTAGCGAAGACATCATATCGCAAGTGGCACTGAAGATCACAGGTGATATTCGGAACCAAGATATTAGTCAAGCATGGCCACCACATGCGTCAGATCTTGAGATGATGAACAGCACTCCTACATCTCTAGTGGAGTTTCTCCAGACACTCCTAACAGGTTTATCCAAAGTAGGTAATAACCCATCCCAGAGCTGTCAAGTCACTCATCGGAAATGTGGAACTGATGAAGATACTGAATAGACTTGGCCATGGTGTTTCATATTCTCAGGTAGAAGAAATTGACACAGACCTTTGCCTTCAGAAGCAAGCAGCAAGTGGAGGTGCTTGGAAGGAAGTGGATATAGACAGACTAGAGGAGACAATCAGTGGTGAAGGGACATCACTTGGAGTGAACGGAATTGCTGTGCAAACAAAGCCTATTGCTGATCATAATGCTGGGACCAGAGCTTTGCCTTGCATCCCCAAAACCAAGAAGAGAAGCATTGAAGCAGTAGAGATGGTACTTCCCATTTACAATGCAGGAGAACGTGCCAATCCTCCTGTTATACAGACAGTTGAGACTAATCATGCCTCCTTTCTACAGGATGCAGCAGACAGAAACCACGTGTGGCTAATGGCTCGTCTTTCCAACAAAGATGTTTGCAGCTGGACTGGGTTAAACATCCTCACCCACAATGATACAAGTGTACAAGAAGATAGTATAGGCTATTTGCCCACAATCAATGCTCCTGCTACACAGTTATCAACAGTACATGAGGTACTTAACCAATAAGCATCATGAAGTCTCTGCAGCTCAACAACATTGTTGTTGTTTTTGACCAGGCATTATATGCCAAAGCTGCAGAAATTACATGGAAACACCAGGAGGTATTCAAGAACATCATCCTTAGAATAGGGGTCTTCCATACCACCTGTACTTTCATGGCAACAATTGGAAAACGGTTTGCAGATGCTGGTCTAAGAGACCTTCGTGTAGAGGCAGGAGTGATAGCTGATGGCTCAGGCCCCGTTTACACGATGGGAAAATGCAGATATTTCTCTGCGTTTTGCCCTCTCATTTACACGAATATGCCGTTTTTATCACAGAAAACGATTATTTCTAAAAACTCCGGGCAAAGTGGAGATTTCTGAAAACGCCGGTTATGTGTTGCCGTGTAAACTGGGAGAAACGGGGTTTTAGGTTCTCTCTTGTCGATTCTGAGGATTTTGATTGGCTTGCATGGCTTTTTCCTTCTCCCTACACTGCCGCCCATAGGTTTGGCATAGTTATGATGGCGCTCGACGGCGTTATTATTCGGGTGTGTGCACGATGTTATTTTTGAAAACGGAGAGGGGGAAAATATTCGTTTCTCTAAATACCCGGCTATGTGTAAACGTAGCCTCAATCTCAGGGGTTACTGATGGTCACAGGTATAATCGAGGAGTAAGGCTCCACAAGCTGCTCTATGAGGCTTTCCTGAGACTAGCATGGAAAGGTTTTCATCCATGGTTAGAACAGAATCCATGGTCAGGAAGATCTTATTCATTTGGAAGCAACTCTGCAAGCAGTCCATAACCTGTGTGAAGAAATATCTAAGACAAGATTTGAGGGAACCCTCGAGCAAGATTCATGTCAACGCATTCTGACACGTTTCAATGAGTTCCTCAGCTACCTTAGAGATAACAATGGTCCCCTGTCTGCCTTCTGGATGTCTTATGTCTTATATAAATATCTATAAGTAATATCTTGACATTTGGACACCTCACCGAAATGGATGAGAAATATCTCCCACTTATTTGTTCAGGTATGCTCATGTTAGACTGAATGCGGGGACCCCCAGCACCAATGGCTGTTCTGGAGCTAATGGCCTGCAAGTGTTCACGGACCTGCAAGCTTCCCGACTGTTCCCGTCTTGCCAATAAATTAAAGTGCAAGCTACAAACCTGCAGCAATCAGAGGGAGGAGGAGGAGGAGAATACTGATGTCATGAAACTGTTTGAATATGATGACGATGATGATGATGATGATGACGATGATGAATAAACAGAAACATTTTGCAATGGCCAAATAAGTTCATGAATAAGGTATAATTATTTAGTTTTTCTTTGTATGACATGTTCTGTTCAAATAAAGTTACAAGATTTTTTCATTCTTTGGCTCAACAGTTCTTTGGCTCAACGGTCATTGAAGGCTAATTTCTGTGACAAAGCTACCACTTACAAAAGGTTATCATGTTGAAATGTCATCTAGAGATATGGACTGAAAAAAAAAAATCAAACTAGAATTTGCCATCTTGGGTGGTACCAATTAGTGAAAATTGTGGCCTGGGCCCATGGACTATTTTGCTGTATTTGTATATAAGTGTTTTATATGTCTGCATGTGCATATCGGAGAATACATACGCAGACCCATGGGTGTTTGAGAGCTTCCTGTGCAGTGATTCTTTTGCCAGGGTTTATGGTCAGCATTTGATTGATGAGGTTTTTGGCTTCAGGAGTAACTGTGTCCCATTCTGGAGATGGAAACTACCAGAAAAAGAAAAAATATATATTATTCTATTATTCAGATGTATTCATAAGCTACAGCTGCAAATCTTTGTTGATCAAATAAACCACCTGTTGGAATATGCAGTTTCTATAACTTGTGCATCTCTAAGAAAATTTTACTTTACAGAAATAAACCACCTGTTACAAGTCCCATTTTCTGAACTTAATGCATTGGCAAAATGCAGATACAGTATATGAGTCAATTTTGGCTCAGAAAAAATTGCCCTTTGGAAAAACCCACATCGGCAAAAACAAGTATGAATCAATGCTCCCAAATGAAAATGGATAAACATTCTTAATATGAGATGGTGATAAAGTGTTTTTATAATGTGATATTCAATACACATTTATCACATTCTCTTAAAGGTGCAGTAAGAGATTTCTGAGAAACGCTGTTGAAAGTGGAACGGACCGAGCACTAGGCATGTGCCGGTATCAAAATTTCATGCTACGATGAATTGATTGAGCTTTTATCATGGTATACGGTATTATCACAATATTTTAATTGCACAAGAGAAACGGATGGATTGGGGGGATGTAAAAAAAACAACTTGCATCACAATAGGTGTAATTGTGATTGTCAAAACATTTGGTAACTAAACAGTAGTGATGCTCCGACTGATCGGCCGCCGATCATCATCGGCCGATATTGGCTAAAAATAGCTTGATCGGCAAACCCCAAAAGCGCAGATCAAAAAAGCCGAACTTTTTTCCACCTGCATGCACGGCGCACACAACAGCAGAGCATAGCAGAGCTTGCCAGTGGCAACATGAATTTATTCTAATGGTCTAGTGGCAGAACTTTTGCCTAGCGTGTCAGAGGTCCTGGGTTCTAATCCGCACTCGTATAGGGTTTTTTCTTCTCATCAAAACCGATAATGTTTATCAGTTGTTGTATGTCAGGCAAGGACACGTTTGTGTATGTTTTGTTTTGTAATTTCACCGGAACGAATAGAGAGTCTCCAGAACGGATTGAAGCGCGTGTCCGAGAGAAGACTGTGCGCGAGCCACAAGAGAACACAGTATCCGCGCCACTGATCGCAGCGGCAACGAGCACTTTGATCACTTGATATAATTAAAAAAAAAACACATTTCAGTGCTAGATCGCCTCTTATTTAACAAATGAACAAAATGAATGCTCTGCTAGTTAACTGGAGATGTTTTATTTATTTGTATTGGTACATTCGTGCCGCGAGATGTTTCAAAAGTGGTGGGGACAATATCGACCTTAGCAAAAAGTGGTGGGGACATGTCCCACCCGCAAATTACGCCTATGCTATCACTTATCATTAGTCTTCCCTTGTCTTTCAGTCTTAGGCCAACTACCTCTTTGTTTTAAATAGGTCATTATGCTTTTCTTATGCCTTATTTGAAGGACGGCTTATAGTAATCTAAAATATTTTATATTTTTTGTCATAGTTGGACATTTTTTTTTGACTATGTAACCTGACACAAATGGATGTGTGTGGCCTGGATGGTCACTATAATTGATTTCACATAGTTTTTCATTTTTACATCTATTTCAGATACAAAGACAGATACTTTCCTTAATTGATCTAATTTTCTAAATACAAATACAAGATTTTGGTGATCGGTAATTGGTGATTGGCCCCAAAAATGCTGGTCGGAGCATCTCTAACAGAATTGTATTAAGTTTAGTGACAACATTTTACAAATCACCAGTCACATGGTAAAATGACTGGTAGGCTACTGTTTGTATTATTGCTTAACACAATTTTCACGATTTCAATTCAATTCTTGGATTTGATTTCAATGTTGAATCAATATTGACTCATTTGGATAAATATTAGGTACAGTAGATAAAGTAGAAAAAATATCTCACATACTGTAATGCTGTAAACATACAGAGAGCCCTATCAGCTGGTATTATTAAAGTTTATAAATAACTAATTAAATTAAATATAATGTGGGTTTTTAATTTTATTATAATAACAATTATATAATGACACAAGTAAAAATATAATAAATATGTAATATAGTGCACATATTTAGCAAAATACTCCTCTCTATAGCTATTTTTTTTTCTAGTCAACTTGCATGCTGGTCATTAAATGGCTTTCCTGAGGTAAATGTAACATTCTGTGACATAATTGTTCTAAAGTTTTATTGACCTATTTCCGTGTTTGAAAAACACTGATTGATCGATATTATGTATGAGGAATATATACCTTTCGGTATTTTGTACTGTATCTTTAAATAAAAAGTAACAGATGATCGGTTTACTTGAACTGAGGCGCTACAGCGATCTGTCACGTCACATTTACACGCGCCAAAACTGTATTTATTGTCTGAATTTTGTAATAAAATGGACAGAATCCGAGAGCTGAGAATTTGTTTCATATCAAAAGGAACCTGCTCTGTAGTCAGTCGGTGTCAGTGTCCTCTTTGCTCCGCGATTTTTCTCTGCGTGAGAAAGATCTGTGGCGTGAGAGCGTGTGAAAGGTGTCAGTTGCGTGAGTCTCACGCTGAATGCGTGAGAGTTGGCAGCCCTGCTTTTAGAAGGGGGATAAATCGTCGGCAGCGTTCCTCCTTCCGCCATGCTTCTTCTCCATGTGAGGATTGTTTACATTAGACTAGAGTGCGCACTGCGCAGCATGCACACAGTGCTTATACATGTGGGGATTGTTTACATCAGAGTGCGCACGTGTTTTGCGCAGCATATATGCAGTGTTTTTTAACCAGTTGATGGAAAATAAGCTAATGTGCGTTCTAAAAATCTAAATTCAGATCTACTATTTTTCACGGTATTTTGAATTGCCCGCGATAACAATATTGTGCATATTCATTACCGTGATTTATCGCATTACCGAATACCGGCACATGTCTACCGAGCACCAAAACACACTTGTAGCCAATCAGTAGTAAAGGGGATATACTCATTAGTAGGGATGCACCGAATCCAGATTTGTGGGGTTCGGCCGAATACCGAATCCACTGGTTAAGATTCTGCCGAATCCGAAACCGAATACCGAATCCTACTCTCATCCTCAGTCCATTAACACAGTAAACACATTAATGAAGTAAACAAAGTGGATTTTTCGTTTTATTTTATTACTGTAAATAATAAACACTACTTTTACTTTTATAACTGTAAAAAAAGAGAAAAGAATAAGCAACATTATGCATTTTAACAGCGGCGATGTTGTGTAGCCTATTGTTTAGAGTCCTTGCCACCATGAGACAAATCAGCATTGCAAATTGAACATGTAGCTCGACTTGAATTGCCTTCTTTTCACTGAAAGTACTGCCAAACAACACTTTTTCTGCTCACGAGTTCCAGTTTCACTTTCTCACAGCCCACTGCTCATTTTTACCTTATTTTGTTAAGTAACGCTGTGGACGGTAGAACGTGTGACAGACAGTTACACAAGTTCGATTGTGGAATAAAGTGCGAGTTGTGAGATGCCAATCGCCTCCGTGAGTCTGTCTGGCCTCTGCAATAACTTTAGCTGTGAGCTATCCCTATTTTTCTTCCTGACACAACGCGTTACACTACTACAGGCTTGTTCGACTTGAACCGGCGCTGCACAGACAGATCAGTTTATGACATCAAAGTACCGCGAGAGCAATTCAAAAGCATAAGGAGCCGTCTCCTCTCTATTCGTTCACGCGGTACTTTGATGTCATTCACTGATCGGTGACTTCGACGTAGCGCGCGTAGTGCAAGCCTAGGGTTCGGTTCGGTGGAAAAAAATTATGAGGTTCGGCAGAAACCGAACCCCGTTAAAAAGCCCAATATTCGGCCGAATCCGAATCCGAATCCTGGATTCGGTGCATCCCTACTCATTAGGGGGAGGTGCCTGTGTTGCAATTGTTCGTTAATTGTCAGAGCTATCAAGACAGTGGTGTGAACCAAAAGTACCTTTTGGGTAGGGGCGTGTTTGTTTTGGTGATTTCAAAAATCAACAGCGTTTCTCAGAAATCGCTTACTGCACCTTTAAATACAGTATTCTAAATATAATTTCTGCATTCACATTTAAAAATGCTTTCATAAAATGATTAAATCAGAACAAATATCAATCTAGACAAACCAGTACCAGCAGCAGAGGGGTGGGTCAAAACTCAGACACATGATGATAAAACTTCTTTAACACCTAACATTGCTATAACTTCTATCAAAGAAAAAATCTCTTATGAACCCTCCTGCCTACATAACACATTTATCAGACAAATATGTTGCACAAGCTAGATGAAGTGGGAACATCAAAATGTCACGAGTACATCAGATGGGACACGTGTCAGAGAAGCTAGAAACTGCACCGAGGACTGTATATTCATGAAGTGCATCCTTCAGTACATACTTGAAAAACAATGAGGGCAAATGGTCTTTGGGATTTTCACTGATCTTCTATCAGAAGAATGAGAGGTTGTGATAAAGAAGGGAAAGAGAGGGGGGGGGGGGGGGGGTGGGGAACAAGGCACAGACCTGAAAAGATGTAAAACTTACATCATAAGCTCCAGCTTTGATCTGTTGGTAAAGTTTGTGCTGATCCTCGTCCCAGAAAGGTGGATATCCAACCAGCAGAATGTACAGAATCACACCTGAATAGAGAACAATTAAAAAATGAATAATGATTCTGTTCTAAGTGCATACATAAGCAACATTTTTAAGGTTGTTCCATTCAGTATACACTCACCTGAAGGATTATTAGGAACACCTGTTCAATTTCTCATTAATGCAATTATCTAATCAACCAATCACATGGCAGTTGCTTCAATGCATTTAGGGGTGTGGTCCTGGTCAAGACAATCTCCTGAACTCCAAACTGAATGTCAGAATGGGAAAGAAAGGTGATTTAAGCAATTTTGAGCGTGGCATGGTTGTTGGTGCCAGACGGGCCGGTCTGAGTATTTCACAATCTGCTCAGTTACTGGGATTTTCACGCACAACCATTTCTAGGGTTTACAAAGAATGGTGTGAAAAGGGAAAAACATCCAGTATGCGGCAGTCCTGTGGGCGAAAATGCCTTGTTGATGCTAGAGGTCAGAGGAGAATGGGCCGACTGATTCAAGCTGCTAGAAGAGCAACTTTGACTGAAATAACCACTCGTTACAACCGAGGTATGCAGCAAAGCATTTGTGAAGCCACAACACGCACAACCTTGAGGCGGATGGGCTACAACAGCAGAAGACCCCACCGGGTACCACTCATCTCCACTACAAATAGGAAAAAGAGGCTACAATTTGCAAGAGCTCACCAAAATTGGACAGTTGAAGACTGGAAAAATGTTGCCTGGTCTGATGAGTCTCGATTTCTGTTGAGACATTCAGATGTTGAGTCAGAATTTGGCATAAACAGACTGAGAACATGGATCCATCATGCCTTATTACCACTGTGCAGGCTGGTGGTGGTGTTGTAATGGTGTGGGAGATGTTTTCTTGGCACACTTTAGGCCCCTTAGTGCCAATTGGCCATCGTTTAAATGCCACGGCCTACCTGAGCATTGTTTCTGACCATGTCCATCCCTTTATGGCCACCATGTACCCATCATCTGATGGCTACTTCCAGCAGGATAATGCACCATGTCACAAAGCTCGAATCATTTCAAATTGGTTTCTTGAACATGACAATGAGTTCACTGTACTAAAATGGCCCCCACAGGCACCAGATCTCAACCCAATAGAGCATCTTTGGGATGTGGTGGAACGGGAGCTTCGTGCCCTGGATGTGCATCCCACAAATCTCCATCAACTGCAAGATGCTATCCTATCAATATGGGCCAACATTTCTAAAGAATGCTTTCAGCACCTTGTTGAATCAATGCCACGTAGAATTAAGACAGTTCTGAAGGCGAAAGGGGGTCAAACACAGTATTAGAATGGTGTTCCTAATAATCCTTTAGGTGAGTGTATGTCAGATAATATAATTTGTACTATACTCAAAAGTATTGAAAAATACAGGGGTTGGAGAATGAAACTGAAACACCTGGTTTTCGAACACAATAATTTATTAATATGGTGTAGGGGCTCTTTCTGCAGCCAATAAAGCATCAGTTTGTCTAGGGAATGACAGATAAAAGTTGGCACCAATGAAACTGATATTTGGCATTGGCACGAGTGCCCAAAGGTTTGGCTATAGCAGCCTGACCATGAATATTAACTCTGTGGAGCTACCGACGAACTGTTTTGGTGGAAACAGGAGAGTTGAGGTACGCATTAAATTCTGCAGTGATTTGGGCAGCTGGGGTTCTAGTTTTTTTTTTGGATACAATCCGGGTTAGTACCTGTAATCCCTTTCAGACAGCTTCCTCTTGCGCTGACAATTACTTCTGTTGGATGTGGTTAGTCCTACGTAGTGGTATGCCGACATTACCCTGGATACCATAGCTCTTGATACACAACAAAGACTTGCTGTCCTGGTCACAGATGAGCCAGAGGGATGCACACTAACAATTTGTCATCTTTTGAACTCTGATATGTCTCCCATTATGTTTTGTGGAATTGCAATATTTTATGTAAACCTGCGCTATTGCTCTGCTACTTCCACCTTCACACTCTGCTCTTACTGCTCTGATTGAATGTAAAATATCAGAATATCAAAATATCACGCATATATAGGCGTGAAACCTCAAACACAATATTGGCCAGTGTTTCAGTTTCATTGTCCAATCCCTGTAGATGAGGATGAAGAGTCTCTGTGCTGTTGTTTGCTAGTAGGTTTAATTAGTGTTGTGTAGGTCGAATAGAAATCCCCAACTCTCATTAAAAATGAATGACTTCCTGTCTCCGTCACTGAAAATCTCTGTATTTGTGAATATCCCTTTGGGACCCAGCTGAAAAAAAAAACTAAGCAAACCAGCCTAGAACCGTTGTCCAAGTTTGCTTGATCACCTATCCTGGCCAAACTGGTTAAGCTGGCAGGCCAAAAAAAGAAGTGCCCAAGACAAACCAGCAACCAGCAAATCAGACCAGCTCGAACAGGATTGGATACCAGCTAAGAACAGAAAACCCTCTTGGGCTGGTTTAGTTTTTTTTTTTTTTTTCAGCAGGGAAGGTAGACAGCAAGGCAGCTCACTTAGTTTTGAAGCACAACACAGAAAATCTCTTTGTCTCTTCAGAATTAGCATGTGCTTGTCACTGTATTTGAGTTTAATTACCACAGGCCCAGATGTCCACCGGTTTGCCATATGCCTCCTTCCTCAACACCTCAGGTGACAGGTAACCTGGTGTCCCTGCAAATCCTGTAAAACATAGTTAAGCACACAGTCTTTCAGATACTCCTCTGCACCAGTAAAATGTGATTGTAAAAGTAGTAAGCACACACAAGATAAAGTGTCCAAAAAGTGAGTCGTGTGGGCGTGTCTCAAAATCAAACTATTTGTTTGCATTGCTATGGCAACGATTACCTACCAAACCATGCCTGCTGGTCTCCCTGCACTTCGATGGCCAGTCCAAAGTCAGCCAGCTTCACTGCAGCGTTCTTGCACTTGCTGGCCAAGAGCAGATTCTCTGGCTGTGGGGAGAATCAAGACAACATTTCTCCTGCCTTAACACACAACTTAAACACACACAATCACAATAACAAACACACTGTGCATGCTAACACACACTACACAACAATAATATATAGTCAGATATCCATCACATGTTCAAATTTAACATTGCATACAAACAACCCTCAAAATTTTTTCTTCTTTGAAATATTAGTTAGATGTTGAGTTTGGTTGACGTACTTTCTAAATGAGGGATGCGGAAAATACATTTGTCTTCACTGGCAATAAGAGCGTGTGCACGTATGTGTGCGTGTTTTTTCTCCCGACTGACCCAGATTATCTAGCCTCATTATTCTCTGCCACTGATGGATGCTAATAATGTGATATCCCCTCTAGTGCCTCCTGATGCTTCTGCTAGCACACACACACACAACACTATCTTATAAATCATAATGCTAGCAACTCTGATCTGTAAGGGCAGGCTAACAAACCAAATACACAGTCACACACACCTTCACAAGCACTGCACCAGATAGTCAAATCTCAAGCAGCTTTTCCTGCATTGCAGTATCTGGTGGATCTAGCATCCACTTCCCTCACTCTCTGATTCACAATAAAGACTGCAACTAAACTGATCAAAACTGTGAAAAAAATATACAATACCATTTAAAAGTTTGGGGTCAGTAAGATGATTTAAAAATAATAACAATACATTTACAGAAAAATACATTTATAATGTTACAAAAGATTTTTATTCCAAATAACCGCTGCTGAAGTAATGAAGTACGGACGTCTGAAAATTTAGCGTTGCCATCACAGGAATAAATTACATTTTAAAATATATTAAAATAGAAAACAGTGATATTAAATTGTAGTAATATTTCACAATGTTAGCGTTTTTACTATATTTTACATCCGATACATGCAGCTTTGGTGAACAGACAAAAATGTTAGCGAGACCCCCTTCTTTTAAATAGAGATATATAACAGACTGATTCAAGCCAATAGCATATGCAGAATGATCTAACATTAATGGTAAACAAAATCCTATGAAAATCATCTGCTGAAGTCTATATAGATCAAGATATTAGCTATGGTGGCAGACACAGTCAACTTGGTCTCAAGTGCTCACAGAATGACTTTGACCGTTCCCATACGGTGGATGGCTTACGTACAGCAGCCCATCTACGTATACTTAATATTCAACAATATTATTGATCTGACTGTACTGCCACTGTTGTATGAGAACTGAACTGAGCTGGACGATGACATCATTTTTTGCAGAACTGCTTTATAGATTAAATTAACTAATTAACTAATTAAATAATTGATGATCTTTACAACGGATCTGAGTCAACACGGAACTGACTTCAGCTGAACAACAGCCGAAATGCATAATTTTCCTGTTGTAACCTTAAAGCTGCTTTGAAACAATCTGTATAGTGTAAAGCGCTATATAAATAAAGGTGACTTGACTTGACTATACATATTTATGGACGTTAAAGCTATTAAGCATATGTGGCTTCTAAATGTTTCATTAAGAGCCAGTGGATATCTATTTTTTTACATTGTTATCCTTGTTCCATAACGCTCATTATCACATCATTATCACCATCCCTTCATTAAAATTTCCTAGATTTTGTCTCCATCCTCAGAAGAACTCATATAGCATAGCTAATGCAGACTACTCCCCCCCAAAAAGAGGTTAAACATGCACACTGCTGAGGGCTGGAACACCACGAGCTAATCCCAGCCTTAAATCTCAGTAGTGGGAGGAATTTTGATGAACAGCACCCTGAGAACAAATCCAGCAAAGAAGATCTGCCAAAAATCACTCTCCAATGCTCTTTCACGAACGTATAACCTCTGCAGAGAAATCCATGACTTGACTTCCTAGCAAAAATCTCAGCATGGGCACAGCTAAGAAAAAAAGTACATATATATGCACACACACACCGCTGGGTGCACTAGTTAAATTGGCTTGAGTTGGTTACGTTTTCTTGTTTAGCTCAGTAAAATCTAAAAAAAGCATATGTGTCGATATACGTGTCCTGTGCAGTGTGCAAGATCGCTGCTCTTTTCTGCAGTGGCATTCCTGTCATGTCCACTCAAGAGTCCCGCTGTGGAGGAGCGTGTGCCCCGGGCTTCCATTCAAAAGGGCACTCCAGTGTGGGTAGACACAGATAGCGTGAAACCAGAGTGCTGGTACTGTCAAGAGTAGAGTATGGAGCTGACCGTAGCAGCACCATTTTTAGCTTGTACCTTGTTTCTTTTTCTGGATACTGCTATATTGAAACTGAAGCATGAATCTAAACCTACACATAAAATCTAGTGATGCACTGAAAATTTCATTTTTCGTCATTTGGTGGCTCTGAATTGTCAAAGCACCTCTCAAAATGCTTGCTACGGATGAGAAAAACGCAGAAAATCGAACCCGATCCGAATTTTTTTATGACAGACGAAAGTTTCTGAGGCAGTGTGTAAGTAAACGTGATTGACATAGCGTGAGGTCGTATTTATTTTTTAACGTGCGGAAATTTCGGACACGAATTTTGGACTCGGTATGCAAGGACCTTCAGGTGCGTTTCCATTGAGTTGTTCTCTTTCCATTGTATTGGTAACCTAGTAACCAACAGTAAATAAAACAAGGCATCCATAGAAAATGGAGACAGGACTGCAATTAGTTACAATTGGGCAGAGTTATACATTTAGGCCTAATAGCAGTGCAGCTTGCAATCGCCAAATTGAATGCTACGCACAGAATAAGAAATGTAGAATTTTTGATGAAGGCACTAGCAGCAAGAGCATTACAACAACGTTGAGCGGCTCGGCTTGGCTTGGCTCGACTCGAGCCCCATACATATGGGAAAGACAACGTTAGCAGGATTTTTGGGAGGCATTTTACTCAGAGGTCAAATTTGAAACGTTATGCAACATCATTGACACCATCAGTGGAAACAGCCAATTTGTCACATGGGTTTAATGTTCGCTACGTCAGAAGTTATTCGGCAAATGCGTTTACTTTGCAACTCCAATTATTCGCATTAACTCTTTTTCGGCCAAGTCAAAAACTACCAAATTTATTTATTTTTAAATTTGCCGTTTCCATCACACGTTTCTGATGCGATACTTCAATATGCGCATAACAACAGGGTGATGGAAACATAGCTAGTGATGTTTCCCGATGATGCGTTTTGACTGTTTCAGTATCTTAGATAAGATACAAAAGGGAAACATGTCAGCAATGAGGGAGCACTTCATCATGAACAAAAATAATGGCTGAGTAGCAACATGTAAAATTTGTTCAGCTGAAATATTGTGAGGTGACTTGTTGCTGAAGAACTCTGCCATGACTGGTTTCATTTATAATCCGAGCACACAACACTCTGAAAAGCATACCGAGTTCAATTATCCAATTACCCAAATTTAATAACCAAAGCTTTATTTTCAGTTTCGGTTTTTGACGAAATTAAAACTTGAATTTATTGATATACATTGGTCAAAACACAAAGTGCACCGTTTTACTCTTTGTATAACTACGTTTTTTTTTTTTTTAAGGATTTGTGCATTTTGAAGAAAACCTGCAGATAAATGGGCATTTATAAAATGACATTACAAATATACAGTAGTCACAAGTAACAATCAAACCACTTATACATGCATATATGAGACATACAAACAAGCAAACCACTGCAAGAACTATTTATGAGATTATAAACGACAGAAAAACATGCAGCATGCATTCCGAAACAGTTTCTAAGCATCACCTTCTCCACCGACAAACCACAACGTTTACAGAAGGCATGGGAGCTTTTTGGCAGTTAAGATAAGCATCCTAGGCCATATTTTATGGCCGGTTTGAACTGTAAGCCAACTGCAAAGCATGCTAGATAGTGTGACACTAGTGGAATTATTTCTAAGAACAACGTGTCGTGAAGCGCACTGCGTTTTAGAGAAGGTCAAGGGTCACAAGGGAGCAGTCAAATGTCACTGCAGTGAACTCAAACCTGGACATGACGACCGGTCTGGGACTGGGACCCTGTCTACACTGACTCTCTGGGCAATAAGAGTAATCTAGAATAATCTAGATTATATTTGGTCTATTTTTATTAGTACTACAGATGTATTAGTGGAAGCACTTTTGAAGTGCTTGATCGATAAATAAAAATCAATGTCGCTCTTTAAGTCAGGCCAATTAGCGCAGTCTTACCTGAACATTCATGAAAGTGAATTTATCACCAGCAACACGAACACACGTAGCGCGCTATCACTGTGTGAGATCAGACTGATTTCTATTGCATTTCTAAGTCGTTTTACTCAATTTCACAGAGAGATCAAAAGCTGCTATTAGCAATTACATCAGTCATCTTCAAATCGACACAGCGATAGGCACAGATTTCTACAGAACATACCAACCTTTATGAGCACATGCACATTCACACACTTGAAGGACAGCGATGACATCACAATCGGCACTTACCTTCAGGTCTCGGTGCACCACGCCCATTTGATGGCAGTGAAGCACCGCCTCCAGGATCTGCTGGATGCAGTGACTGCATGCAAACAGCAGGGGGCGGAGGTTAGTCTGAGCAGCGCTACAGTCTCGTGCACAGGCCAGGGGCGAGGGGGATTTGGGGGAGGTAAAAATGTAAATGGGAGGGGGCAGGGCATCTCTCTAGACTCAAGCCTTGCCTCCATGTAGCTAAATATAAGCATAAAATAATTGAAACAGAAACCCCTGAAACCGCAATAATAGTTAGACAGAAGAGGTGAAAACGTACTCCGTTACCTAACGCAACCCTCGGTTCTCTCTAGAGAGGGAACGAGTTTTGCGTAAGTTTAGCTTACGCTACAGGTAAAGTTCATCTTTTCTCGAGATACTGAAGCCAAAATTATCCTTCATTTTGTAAACTTTGTCAACGCAGTGTAGCAGCTGCAGACCTAGAGCAGGCTGACTAGCGTGCCCATGGGGAATGCACCCATGGGGAATGCAGAGCGGCGTCGCCGGAGCTGTAAGGAG